TTAATTATCCAAGATTTCGTAAGAAAGAGGCCTTAGACAAAGTTTTAGGATGGGCAATGGACTAAGGCTTCATCCAATTATTATTATTATTTCTCTACATCCGTCTTATTTCACTCACTGATTTTCAACAATTGCTTATTATAGTCAAGTACTTATGATCTTGTATGTTGGGATCTTAGGAAAAGAGTGGAATCACTTTCTATGATACTACTTTATTATTGCAACTTTTTATGTCTTTGAGATCTCCAATATGAGTGATACTAAGATGGTTCACTGGAGTGCCACAAATCAGTTGGTCGTGTCATGGCTTCTCAATGCAAGTGAGCCTACAATTGCTACCATTATGATGTTTATAGCATCAGTTAAATAGGTATGATTGTTCGGTTTATAGATCATCAAATTTCCACAAATGAAATGAAAAATGGGTCCATGTACATGATTGAAATCTTGCAAACAAGAACGTTCTTTCTCGATATGGAGTTCAAAACCCAAAGGTAATCGTTGAGTGAACTGTATCTCTCTAACCTACAGGAGTTCTGGTGGAGGGTGAAGACTCGGACAAAGAAGGACATATATGGAAGAAGTTTAAGTTGGTCTTGTGGCGGAGCTAACAATAGCAAGCCTTATTTTAGGGATAGTTTAATATTCGAGATAAAGAGATTCACCTATACATTTAGTAGAGTCCTGTGTTTTTAACAAACAATCTATGCCCTTGGTATGTGACGCTTTCCTAATCAAAAGATAGGAGAGCTTGTTGTGTTGTGTGAGCCTCCAAGTAAGGCAAGCGAAGGTCTCCGGAGTAATCGCTGTGCGCATTGCTTGTGCTCCGTGTCAACGACAGTTCCTCGAAACAAAGGGGCTACCCAGTCCAACTCGATTTTCGCAATGAGTCCTATTACAGCTCTCTCCTACAATAGTGATGACTATTCACTACACTAGATATCACATCCCCTTGAAGTTCCACTTCAATTGCCACAAGAAGGCATCATGTTATTTTTTCCATATGAGTTGTAAGAACACTCTATCCCAATCCTCAAACCTCCTTTTGGCATCGCTCTTTTCATGCATTTGTCGATTCACTTCCTCCAACAACGAGAATTTATAGTATATTGTAATCCTAATAAAATCTACTCTAAAGTCTAGTTTGTAATACTATTATGTTTTGTTTCCTCTTGATTTCACATTGATGCAAATAACTGCTCTGAGAATAGTACTAATTTTTCATGTTCCCTTCCATTTGTTGTCTAATTCTTTTCTTTAAACTTTTCAAAGTACTTTAAATAGACTAATAATAAATGCATACTCATTAGTGTAGATTCTAGAATAATTTAATAAGTAGAAATGACACCAAACCAGATTTTTTAAGATTCAATTTCGAAAATCAAATCTAAATTTTATTTATACAAAAATCAGATATTAATTCAATATTTTAATTTTAATAATAATATAACCTATCCAACAAGCCCTAATTCATTTACACAGATATTTGTTTACCCATAATAAGCGCGTTTTACATATTTATTTTGACTACAAAACATGGATAACTGTTGATAAAATATGTTGAAATATGAATTAATTCTATATAAATTATGTTTTGTATGACAACATTGATGAATGTGGTGTAATCTAGAAAAAAAGTGAAAATGATCAAAATGGAAGAAATCAAAAGTCTAGGGACTGAAGTGCAAATAGTCAAAAGATGACGCAAAATACAAAATGAAGATATGAAAGATTTGAAGGCCAATTTATAAAAGACATGGAGCACTGGAAGAAGAAGAAATGAGAAAGGAGGTTAAGAAACGAGAAAATGGAGTTCGGGGGACTAAAACACAATATTTGAAAGTTAATATAAGTTGAGCGACTGCCCAGGTCAGTCACGATGAAAAAAATTCTAATTTCCTTATCTGACTGAAATTCTTATGAAAACAAATTTTAGAGTGTCTTTATAGTCCTAGGGATGTACATAAGGTAGGGGCACGCATTATAACACGTTCACAAGAGTTTGAGAGTAGGGAATGAGAAGATTAATTGGAAGAACCGAAGATTCAATTGAAAATTTAAATTGGTGACGTCGTTTCTTCAATACTATTTGTGCTTTCTTCTTCCCATCATGTCTAGCTAAATTTATTTGTGATAGGAGAATTATGAACCTTGTAGTATGAGTTTTTAATCTTGAGTTTTACATGTTTGACATTAAAAATATGTTTTTGAGTATTGAATGGTCTATGCGAATTTCTTTTCTCCATGATTATTGCGCACGGTAATCACGTAAATATGATGGCTAATTTTATACATTCGAAAAAAGGAAAATAGACTCGACATGATATAAATCATCGTAGGGTCTGATGGGGAATAGAAATATATCGCTATGCTCTATATAAATCCTTAAGTGTTCAATAGAGTTCATACATTCTTGTATGTTTGTATCCGTCATAGAAATATAGTAGGATCATATATGAAACTAGTATTAATATTACTCGAGAGAGATTGTTAAATATAATAGGAATATTGATTCTTCAACATTCAATCGTGTTGTCAAAGTGTAAAACTAATGTTAAAAAGAATTATTGCATGGGGATTCGCAATCCTAGTACACTTATCATTCATTAGAACACTTCAATTTACATTTAAACACTACTTGCATTTAGTTAGTTAAATCACTTCTAATTGTATATGTAATTTAGTTTAGTTATAATTTGCATCATAACAAAACACTCTCATTTTTGTTGTTTCGGTCAAGGTCACGATAATAGAAATTGAACTAAATCAATCCGTGTGGGACGATATTCGGACTTAAAATTCATTTTATTACTTGTTGATGAACCGTATACTTGTGGTGGTTTTAAATCAAAATATATTTTTCGTGAGCAACCTACTTTATTCTCTATCGCCTCTTCTTCACCCACTTATCTCGGTGACTCTACGCGACAAGCAATGGAGCCCTTGTAGTGGCGATGGTGCGCCATTTCACTACGCACGAAGCAACAATAATGAGTGGTGTCGCTGCACATGAACTACAGCGCTCTTGGTTGTATCACACGAACTATAACGAGGAATGGGACGTCGCTGCACAAACAAAGTGGCGGTGAATGCTTCATCGCTGTGTACGAAGCAGTGGCAATGCGGTGGTGTGGTGTTAGTGTGTGTTGAATGGGTATTTCTTGGCGTGATGAATAAAGTGGTGGCAACAGTTCTGGTGGTGGTTGAATTTTTTGAAAAAACAATCGACGAAGATATGGTGGATGTGAAGTATCCAATGAACTAGATTTGATAGCAGCGGTGGGCATACCAAAAATTAGTTGATGGAAATCATGTTTTTTAGTACTGATGAAAATGGTGAGTTAGACGGTGTAGAATCATTCTTTTTCTTTTAAAATTTTTTTTTTTGAGTGGCGTGGTGATTGACAGTTCGGTGGTGGAAGTGTGTGGTGCGGCGGTGGGAATAGAGATCTTTGGTGGGTGTGGCGGTGATGCGCTACTATGGTAAAGTGGTGGTGCTGCGGTAGTTGGGTGAGCGGTGTGGTGCTGTGCGTGCTGGTGGTGCGGTATAGGTAAAGGTGTGCTGCATGGTGGTGGGAACGACGAGTTCTAGTGAGTACGACGATCATGTGGTGCTGTGAGTGCGTTTGTGGTGCTGCAGGTGCGATGGTAGTAAATGGTTGGGCGCATGCAGTATGTGGTGTAGTACTGTGTTTGGTGGTGTTAGTGGTATGGTGTTAGTTCTGGCATGACAATTTGGTGATGTTTTTCTACGATTTATTGATTTGTTTGACGTGGCGGTGGTTGTTCTGGCAACGATAGTGATAGTGGTGTTGTTGGAGGTAGTGGTTGAAAGTGGTGATGATCACAAATTATTTGGTTAATTGTGACCATTAAATTGGTTAATTTGTGATCAATAAACAATATATGATCAATAAAAAAAGATAAAATTATCACCAAAAAATAACGTGTAACCTAAAAATTGTTAATTTGTGATCGATAATTTGCTAATTTGTGACTATTTAATAGTTATGACTTATAATATTTGTGATTTGTGACCAATAAATAAATTGCATTTGTAATTGATAAATAAATTGTGACTCATAAAATTTTTGAATTGTGATCGAAAAATAATATGTGATTAACTATAAATTTGTGTCGTAGTATATTTAATTAATAAAATATATAATTAATTAATTCATAAAATAAATTTTAATAATCATCTGATTGTTGAAATTTAAAACTTCTATTCTTATTTTTGAAATTGGTGATACTTAAAGGGGCGTTTGTTTCCCATTTTTGTAAAAATGAGAATTAAAAATATAGTCCTACACAAGAGATAGAAATTCAAATTAGATGGTATGATGTAATGGATAGTGATTATATTTTTTATTTTAATGGAAAAAGAATCGAAAAAAGGGGGTTTAGTTATAAATTTTATCCATTTTGCTCTTGTTTGAGCCCCATTTTTTTTGAAAGTATGAATTTTTGAATATTGTATTATGGAAAATGTATGGTTAAGAAATAAGGAAATTTTTTGAATATATGTGTAATATTATTTAATTAAAAAATATATGATTGAAATGCTGTCAAAAAATATATTTTTCCAAAAGAATGAGGGTCAGGATTTAATATTTTAATGTTCTAGAACAATGGACCCGACCCAGAAGGGTCAGGATTTAATATTTTATGGTATGTTTGATTACATTTATTTTTCATGAAAAATATTAGTTTTTCATCCAAATTTTCACTTGAAGTGTTTGATTGCTATTTTTTTCCATGGAAAACATTTTCCAACTTTTGAAAATATGCTTAATTTTCCTTGTTTTTAAGGAAAATATTTTCCTTTGGTAAAGGTGATTTTTATTTTTCATAAAAGATGAAAAATATTTTCTTTTCTAGGTAATATTTTCATGTCAATCAAACACACTCTTAATCTTCTATAACAATGGACCCGACCCAGGTAACAACTTAGGAAACAATTGACCCAAAAGCCCGGACAAACATTTTCAGATTCCGAATTTTATGAACAAATCACGTGCCATAAACGCCCTGTAAACGAGAACCTGACACCTGATTCATCCTTTACAGTCAAAATCATACAATTCTTCTCTGCTCTTCGAGAATTCAATTGCAAAAATGGCTTTTTTCAAGCTTACCTCAGGCGATATTACAGGTTTCAAAGTGCTGTTTGCTCTTGCGATCATGTACGGACTCATTTCCTATATTGTACACTCCGCAATTTACATGGAGTTCATTAAGCCTCTCGGTATCGACGCACCACTTGATCGTTTCTCCGAAGCCAGAGCCATTGAACACGTCCGCGTCTTGTCGGAAGACATCGGTGGTCGTCAGGTCAACACCAGTCTGATACATAACAATTTCTTTGTAACTCTATGCATGTGAATTTTTTTTTTTAATCAGTTTTGCAATCTTATCAAGACAGTTCAATCTCTGGTATGTGGATAGGAGAATATTAGTGAGTGAATTCAATGCTGCTATTTTTTCCGTTGACTTTTTTCCCCTAGTTTTTAGAAGAATCTAATCATAAGCTAGGGAACTAGTCCTATATATGAATTTGTTAGTTTCTTGTTTGATTGTTGATTTCTAAGAAGTGGAAAGACTTAATTAAATGAATCATCTTCTTTATTTATTTATTATTATTTTTTTTATGGAATCGCGTGTAGGAGGGGAGTCCGGGTTTAAGAAAAGCTGCGGAATATATTAAAGCACAGTTGGATGTGACAAAAGAGCGAGCTGGATCGAATCTTAGGTTGGTTTCCATTCGCAAATTTGAAATTTACTGTTCCTCATGTATGGATGAACACCTATATAAGATTGTGATCAAGTAACTCTGGTTCTTGGAATCTGTATTTGCAGGATAGAGATTGAAGAAACCACTGTTACTGGCTCATTCAATATGATCTTTTTAGGACACAGTATATCTCTAGCTTATAGAAATCACACAAATATTCTTATGAGGTACTCTGCACAATTTATTTCTTCTTTCTATTAAATTCTTTATTTCCCAATTTCAAGGCCACACACCGGTTCATTAAATTAAAAACATTTTTATCAACAAATGTCCCCCCCCCCCCCCCCCCCCCAACCCAAAAAAAAAAAAAAAAAAAAAAAAAAAACAAAAAAGGAAAAGAAAAAAAATGAACTTTCTGCTGATTTAAACATGTTTTTTTTCTTTACGGAACTTCACACTTTCTTCTTCATTGTGTGTTATTTTGATAATTAATGGAGTTGTAAAGTTCATTGATTTTTCTTTTGTTTTGTCACCCTCTCTCTCTTTCAAGTCCTTGTAAAAGATTGACTACTGTTGAAGATGCAGTTTAAATACATAAATGTGACTCCTCTCTATCTGATTAAAGTTTTAGATGAAATATGAAATGATTAATATGGTACTAGAGTCCAACCAACTATAATGAGCCATTTGATCCGCTTCAAGCTCAAATGAGCGCTCTGATTCCAAAATTTGTGTTCTCAATTTAGACACCATCTTGCGGAGCTTGTTAATGATAAATTCTATGTCAATTAAAAATACTAATAAAATAAACAACATATAATAGCACGAGTTATTCTTCCTAATATGGTTGACATTTTAAGATGGAACCTCATACTAAATAAATATGAATTAAATTGAGTTGGTGCCTAAAGTTTGCACCTTGTAGCATATTTCAATGCTTTCCATATTAAAAATGCTAAAATGACCAACAGAATTAGAAGCCAAATTTAATCAAGTCTGTGACCAATGATAAAAACTCTGTTCGAGAGCTGTTAGTTCATTTACATTGTGTAAAAAATGAAAATTTGTTATCTGGCACGCATGCAACATCTTGTAATATGTTGGATGCTTGATAGAACTCTGAAAAAAATTGTTTGGCGAATTACAGTTGATTAACTTCAATTTACTTACAGGATTTCATCAGTAGATTCTCAAGACGCCGATGCATCTGTTTTGTTGAATGGTCATTTTGACACCCCACCTGGCTCTCCAGGAGCTGGTGACTGTGGCTCATGTGTTGGTGGGTTGTATATGCTAATGTTTCAAGATGTGATTGCTTATAATTTTGAGCTTGATTTTATTGCTACTCCTTCTGCAGCATCATTGCTAGAATTGGCGAGGCTTACGGTTGATTCTGACTGGGTTCCTCCTAAGCCAGTAATATTCTTATTTAATGGAGCAGAGGAACTATTTTTGCTGGTGAGAATTTCATGATTAGTTGGGTCCCTTGCACATTTTTGTGTTATTTAGGCCTTAATTTGCTTGTTTATTTGAGTGTCATTCTGCAAAATAGTGGGTCTGAATAACACTTTTGCCTTAATTTGCAATATTTAAAGCTTTTATTAGCAAAATTAGTTTTATTTGCATCTGAATTGAGTATTCTTACTAATTCTCCAATGTTGTTTATTTGTTTACAACAAGAAGCTTTATTGGTTTCTGGGATTAGGTATGTGTTACATATAGGAAACATCAATTTGTTAAGTGATTTCTACTTTATAGGGAAAAGTAACTCGTGGAATCTCTGTATAAAGATAAATTAGTATGAGTTTGACTAGAAAATTTTAGTGAATGAGTTATAAACACACAAGTTATTCACTAGCAACATGCTTTTGAAATTTCAGGGTTCACATGGCTTTATGACAACACATAAATGGCGTGACACGGTTGGAGCTTTTGTTGATATTGAAGCTTCTGGGACAGGAGGTTTTGGTAGGTTTCAGGTACTCATCATTTCATAATTATGTTAGATCTGTCATTGTGTTGTGGTCCTGCTATTTGGAAGTACAATTAATTCATAACTGTTGATGACAAAATTTAAATCATATACACTTGGCCTCTTTAACAACATAAGATAGATCAAGTGGTTCAACAATAATAGGCATTTTCTTAAGTTTGCCAGCAGATCTACTTGCAAAAAGAATAGGATTACCAAATAATTTGTGGTGAGGATACACTATGTTTTAAAGATCACAGCTATTTCACTATGTTCATATGCTTTTCAGTTCTATTTATGTTGAAAATTTTCCCCCATTTTTATTCTCTGTCGTCTTAATTTATATTTAGCTTTGTCCTTTTTTTTTTTTTTTTTTTTTGGGTGTGGTGGGGGTAGCTTGAGACTTGAGAGGGTGAAGTAGATTTTTTTTAATTTTTTAAGTTACTTCATATGACACTGATGCAAATTTCTGATTAAGGTGGTCAACAAATTGTTAGCCATATATAGCAGCATGTACTATGGGATACTATTGTAATTTATATTTCGTAAATAGGCTAATTAGTTCTTACCATAGTTAGAAAACTTACCATAATTGCTGTAATTCTTATCTTTATAAGTGATCTATTTCCTCAATTGGAGGGACAATTCGGACCAATTTAACATGGTATCAGAGTCCTCTTAGATTTTTCAAAATATCATCTCGGTTTTGCCTTCTTAAAGAAAATACCTCGCTTTGGACAGTCGAGGTTCTGTCAGCAATTTGTGGAGAGTAAAGGGCAGTCGGTGGTTGGTAATTGGTAGCCGATGTCTTTTGAGTTGTGGAATTGTTTGTGGGTGATTTTTCTGGCCACGTTTTCGGTGTGGCAAGCGTGGGCACGCTGTTTTTTTTTGGTGCGGTTTTCTCGGTTGGAAGTCGCTGCTCTTAGAGTTATCTAGTGGAGGGCCTCCCAGTCGGCTCTCTTTTTGGTGGTGGATCGACATATCCGTTTGTGAATTTTTTTGGGTGAACGACAATCGAAGTGTTGATCAACAAGAGAAATAAATTCTGGGTAGGTATATAGCTTGGCTTGGATTCCCATTATTAGCCTGAAGATTTCATTGTTGGGCTTTGGTTTGAATTTCTCTTACTGGGATATATGATTTTGTTTGGACTTTACTTGTTGGGCTTTGTTGGGCTGCATTATTTATTTATTGTTTGGTTAATTTCATATTGGACTTTGGGACAGGTTTGGATTTAATTGTGGAGTGAGGTAACTTTCGATTTTGAGCTCAACTAATTTAGCTGGACTTGATAATTTATTGGAATCCGATCTTTGCATTTCATCATGCCTGGAGAAAATTCAATAATTCGTTTCAATGGAAAAAATTGCTTGAGTTGGGAATTTCAGTTCAATATGTTTGTGAAAGGGAAAGAATTATGGGGTTATTTAGATGGGTCCTCTAAGGCTGTGACTGATATCAAAAACCTTAGTTCATGGGAAAATAAGGATGCCAAGATTGCTTCTTGGCTATCGAGTTCTATTGAACGATATATGGTCAACAATCTTCGTTCTTTCCCTACTGCAAAAGAAATATGGGATTATCTCAGGCGTATTTACTATCAAGACAACTTTGCTCGAAAGTTCCAATTGGAGTTAGAAATTGCTAATTATAAATAGGGTAATCTTTCTATTGACCGATTCTATGCTCGATTCCTTAATCTATGGAGTGAATATTCTGGAATAGTTTATTCCAAGGTTCCCAAGGAAGCTTTAGCTGCACTTCAAGTTATCTATGCTGAAAGTTAAAGAGATCAATTTTTGATGAAGTTGAGACCAGAATTTGAGACTGCAAGGGCTGGCTTAGTGAACCGTACTCCTGTTCCTTCTTTGGATGTATGCTTGGGAGAATTATTATGCGAAGAACGTCTTGCCACTCAACTTGGCATAACCGAAGAATCAGTGACTACTGAGATGGTTAATGTGGCATATGCTGTTCAAGGAAAAGGAAAAATGAAGATCCAGATACAGTGCTAGAGTTGCAAGGAGTTTGGGCATATTGCGAAGAACTGCAGTAAGAAATTCTGTAATTACTGCAAAAATAATGGTCATATTATTAAAGATTGTCGCATACGACCTCGGAATAGAAAAGGCCTAATCTTTCACACCGCTATTCAGTCCAATTCAGCTATTGTCTCCTCTGCTTCCACTCCAATTGCTGCTTCATCTACTCTTACACCTGAAATGGTCCAACAGATGATTGTTTCCGCTTTTTACGCTCTTGGTCTTCAAGGTAAGAAAAATCAACTTGGTTCTCCTTAGTTGGTCGATTCTGCAGCCTCAAATCATATGATAGGTAGTATAGAGGCTCTACATGATATTCGTAAGTATAAAGGTGATCAACAGATTCAAATTACCGATGGGAGTAATCTTCCTATTACAGCAATTGGAAATTTGGGATCTTTTTTCACAAATATATTTGTGTCACCAAAATTATCTACAAATTTAATTTCTGTTGGACAATTGGTAGATGATAATTGTGAAATTCATTTTAATCGGAGTGGTGGTTGTGTGCAGGATCAAGTGACGGGAAAAGTGATCGCGAAGGGGCTTAAAGTGTGATGTTTATTTCTTCTTCAGTTTTCCATTTTTGATTCATTTGCTTGTATTGCTATTGCTAATGATAGTAATGTTTGGCATAAGAAATTGGGATATCTCAATTCTAATGTTTTGACTCATCTCTTAAAGAATGGTTATTTGGGCAATAAAAATTCATTTTCTCATGTGTCTCCTGATTGAAATTCTTGTAAACTTGGTAAAAGCATATCCTTACCTTTTCCTTCACATGGTAGTTGGGCTTCCACATGTTTTGAGATTATTCATACCGACTTATGGAGTGTTAGTCCTGTACTTTCGCATGCTCAGTATAAGTATTTCGTAACATTTATTGATGATTATAGTCGTTTTACTTGGGTCTATTTCCTTCGATCTAAAATGAACGTGTTCTCCATCTTTCAGAACTTTGTTGCTTTTGTTGATACCCAATTTTCTACTAGTATTAAGATACTTCATTCTGACTCGAGAAGGGAATATATGTCCAACAATTTTCGGGAATATCTAAAAACAAAAGGGATTCTCTCCCAATGATCTTTTCCTTGCACTCCCCAGCAGAACGGGGTTGCTGAGCATAAAAAATGTCATCTTTTGGATGTTGTTTGTAATTTATTAATTGAATCTTCAGTGCCTTCTAGATTTTGGGTCGAGGCTTTATTGACAGCTGCTTATTTGATTAATCGTCTTCCCTCTCCAACATTACAATTTGACTCTCTGTATTCTCGATTGTTTAATGTTGCGCCTGAGTATGATTCACTTCATATATTTGGTTGTGTCGGTTTCGTCCACTTACCTTCTACTGAACGTCACAAACTTACTACTCAGGGTAATCGATGTGCATTCCTCGGGTACAATAATGCACACAAAGGGTTTGTGTGTTATGATGCGGATGCTAACAAAATTCGTATCTCTCGAAATGTGGTTTTCTTTGACATCCGATATTTTTTCCAGTTTCGTGTTGTTCATGATTCTGTCACTATTAAGTTTCCTAAGTTTGATGATATGTCTTGTAATGTTGAGCACTTTAAGCCAGGATTTGTTTATCAGATCATTGAACCGATGCCTGATCCCATCATCACTGTACCTCGACGATCTTCTCAAATCTCACGCCCTCCAGATAAGCATTGGTTTCCGTATATTGCTAATCAGGCTACCCTTGATACTACTTTTGTGTCCAAATCTTACTCTCAGGCTTCTATTCATGCTTGTTGGCAGAAAGCTATGTAGGAAGAGCTTTACGCACTTCTAGATAATCATACTTGGGATATCGTTTCATGTCTTGATGGGGTATAACTTCTTGGATGCAAATGGGTATATACGATTAAACTTCGGCCTGATGGTACTATAGAGAGATATAAAACCCAATTGGTAGCTCTTGGGAACTATCAGGATTATGGTCTTGATTATGAGGAGACCTTTGCACTTGTTGCAAAGATGACTACTGTGAGGACTATTATGGCTATAGTTGCTTCTAGAGGATGGTCTCTCCGTAGATGGATGTGAAAAATGCATTTTTACATGGTGATTTGAAGGAGGAAATATATATGAGTCCTCCTCCTGGTATGTTCTCTCACTCTTCTACTGAGGTTTGTCGGTTGAGGCGCTCTTTATATGGATTGAAACAGGCACCACGTGCTTGGTTTGAAAAATTCCGTACCACTTTGCTTGATTTTCATTTCGCTCAGAGTCAGTTTGATTCCTCCCTGTTTCTTAAAAGCACTACCTCTGGCCTTGTGCTTTTAGTATATTTGGATGACATTTTGATCACAAGGTCTGACACTCAGTCGATTGTGCAACTTCAGCAGCATCTTAACACCACTTTTCATATGAAAGATCTTGGTTCTCTACAGTATTTTCTTGGTCTTCAGGTGTATTCCTATCCTAATGGTCTGCTTCTACACCAACACAATTTTACCCAAGATATTCTCATCTCAGCTGGCCTTCAATCGGGAATTCCGTGCTTACACCTCTGGAAGTCAATGTCAAGCTTAGCCAAGATGAAGGCAAACTTTTACCCGATCCATCCTTATATCGACAGCTTGTAGGAAGCTTGAACTATTTGACAATTACTCGACTTAATATTTCTTTTGTTGTACAACAAGTCGGTCAATTTATGCAGGCTCTTCAATAACCTCGTTTGGCAGTTGTACGAAGAATTCTTCGTTACCTCAAGGGCACATCTGGTCAAGGGTTGATTTTCCCTACTGGGAATTCCTTACAGTTAAAGGGTTACAGTGATGCTGATTGAGTTGGTTGTGTGGACGCTCGACGTTCAATTATTGGTTGGTGCATGTTTCTTGGTGATGCACTTATATCTTGGAAGAATAAGAAGTAGAATCATGTCTCGAAGTGCTCTACTAAATCGAGCTATGTCGTCTGCTTGCTCAAGAATTGTGTGGCTTCGGAATTTGTTAGGCGAACTTGGTATCGCTCAACTTGCATCTACTCCGCTTTATGTTGATAACACCAGCACTATTCAGATTGATGCCAATCCTGTATTTCATTAACGCACCAAGTATATTGAAGTAGATTGTCATTCTATCCGTGAAGCCCTTGATCAACATGTGATTACACTTCCTCATATCTCCACCGAACATCAAACTACTGAAATTTTTACCAAAGCTCTATCTCGTTGCCGTCATTAGTTCATGATTGACAAATTGATGCTTTTTGATCGATCAACATCAATTTGAGGGGGATGTTAGCCATATATAGCAGCATGTATTATGGGATACTATTGTAATTTATATTCGGTAAATAGGCTAATTGATTCTTACCATAGTTAGAAAACTTACCATTATTGTTGTAATTCTTATCTTTATAAGTGATGTTTTCCCTCAATTGAAGGGACAATTCAAACCAAAGTAACACAAATTATCGTAAATTAATAATAAATAATGTGGTTACCAATGAAATATCAGACATCGAGTCATTTCTAATTTCTAGTTGAATATTGATGAAGCGAAACTATATCTTGCCCAGGCTCATTGGGAATTATTATGGTGTTGCTTAAACTTCAAAAGGGAAAGCCCTGTAGTAGATTATAATAACAACTTCCAAGCTTGTTTACACAGAATATAGACATGCCTAAACCTAAAGTACCTGGAATGAGTTGTCATTTCGATCTTATATGTGGTTTTCCTCCTGCCAGTTATGCAACATGGATTCAAATTACTTATGTGAAAATAAAAAATTCCATTTTTTTTTATACTCTGATTGTTATGATAATGTTGGTGACTTAATATTGTTTTCATTTACATCACGAGCTATGCTGGCTTACAGCTTTTGGCTTAGCTGATGAAAACTGATTCCAATCTTTGTGTCAGACTATGTTGTTCGAGAGTTTATCGTGATGTATTAGTCTCACGACACATCTGCCCATGGTTTGATTGCAGACATGTTTGAAATATGCCCATTTGCTCAATGGCAGAAGTGTTGGGATAATGCACTTTGTCAAATAGTAGACATGTTAGGAATATGCACATTATCTAATAGCAGACTATTAGTTGTCATATTAGCTGATTATGTTTTATATGCTTGTGATGCCTCCACATCAGATAATCATGTGCCAATAACAGTAACCGTAAGTACTTGTGTAATGTCCTTGAAGGGGGCTGTTTAATTCTAAACTTGATCTTATGTTGGTATCACAAACAATAAATACTGCCTCAAGAACCTTGATTAGTCCTGAAGTAAAAACATATCTTACTAGTAATTTCCCTTTTGAAGATATTTTCCATTTCCATGGCTATTGAACTTATTCTGGAGCTGAGCTTTTTTCTATCAACAGATTTAGTGTGCCAATCTGGACCAGGATCTTGGCCTTCATCTGTTTATGCTCAATCGGCGATGTATCCTATGGCAAATAGTGCAGCTCAGGTTTATCCTCTTTTCTGTGCATCTTTAGAACATTCAATTCTTTCTACTGGTTTTCATTATGCTCAGTCAAAATAAACCGAATTGTTTGTCATTGTAATTTTTTTCTTCTAAAATTCTGCAAAAAATTGATTACCCATCAAAAAAAAAAATTGATTACACTTAAAACACAAAGGACGTGGACAGCCAAATGGTAATATTGGTCCAGGTTCAACATTGAATAGCATAATCCATGGTTACAATTTTACAACCTTAAACCATATGAAGTACAAGCAAACATGTATCATTGTCAATCAGTTAAAGCAAACACCAGCTCCAGAAATGTGCAGTTCTAATGCATCCTTAGTTTTCTGAACTTTCAAGGATCATGCAAATCTATGCTCTAACCAGAGCTTGGAATTTCCAGCCCATCTTAAGACCTGATATACATGTATAAGGAGTATTAATAGCAGTAATTTGCCAGCAGATCAATACAGGGAATCATCTCTATTGATAAACTGGCAACTGTATAACATTCCCCCTTCTGTTTCACCAAATCTAGAAGATGCACAACATGACCACACATGAAGAAGCCTGAACTGTTTATCCAGCAAAACTAGCTCCTGGAATTTATTGCCCTCTAAGGGCAGCAATCCTAGCTGCCAAATCATTGTAATCAGGCAATTTTGGGTGCACATGTCGTGCCTGGTTATCGGGCTGGAAAGTATTGGCACGAGTAAACACTTTCTTCACCTGCGGCGAACCACTTTCTTTGTGAGGAAGAGAAATCGATCTAGCGGGCAGTGGAACAATTTCTGATTCAACATCTTGTCCATCTCTGCTCTGGTCGAGATAATTCACCAGCATCAATGGCTCTCTGAATTGATCTCAGCAGCGAAGAATGAGATAGTAACTTTTTCTTCGATTTACTGGCATCATAACTCGATGGTTTCTTGCTGTAATGGATTAATAGTCTATCTAACACTAATCCTTTCTCCCAATGAGTGCTCAACATTTCGTGAAGTTCCTATGGTTGTTTTATCATAGTGCCTTCAAATCTATCCTGCTAGCATGGTCATGTCACATACCATAGAATTTACACTTGCATTGTGATCCTGATACTTACAATTCTAGTTGTACCTCAAACCAGTAATGTATATATTATTTCATTTCTTCCTTTTGGCTTTTGCTATATTGCAGTTCTCTCCAACCAATGTAAACAATCACATTTCTAATACATCTGCAGGATTTTTTTGGTGCTATTCCTGGCGATACAGATTACAGAATGTTTTCCAAAGATTATGGCGATATTCCTGGATTGGATATTATCTTCCTCCTTGGGGGTTATTTTTACCACACCTCCTTCGATACTGTGGAAAGACTATTGTATGCATTACAACTTCTACTTTGGTACACTTCACTTGATTGAGATTTTAAGATTGCGCATTTTACTTTTGCCTTTCCTCTAAATTGCATGTGTATCTGTTGAGTAGACCAGGAAGCATGCAGGCACGTGGAGACAATTTATTCAGTCTAATGAAAGCTTTTACTAATTCTTCTAAGCTACTAAATGCCCAAGAGCGAGCAATCTTTAGAGCTTCTGCCAACGAATCTGACAATCAACAAGCAATTTTCTTTGATTACTACTCACGGTTCTTGGTAGCCCCAATATTCTATTTTTGCCTTCAATTGGTCAATATTTCTGTAATTAAATACGAACTCTTTAGTAAGGGCAGTACTAGACACATTCTAAACATCCTGCTTTGGACATCAAAATATTTTCAGGTGTTCTACTCAAGAAAGCAAGCTATTCTGTTTCACAGTATTCCGGTTGCTATCTTCCTTCTTATGCCACTTCTTCTGCGCTTGCCAAGTTGTGGTTTAATCTGTTTATTTAATACCTACTGTGACTTTCTCAAAGGTAATGGTGTGCTGCTGACATTTGAAAGTACATATTTACACCATTTGTAATAGTGGCCTTGAGTAAGCTCTTGTTCTATACATTCTGCAAAATGGTTACCTTGCTGCTCCGCAGGAATGTTATACCATGCTAGTGGGATTATACTCGCAGTTGTTTTTCCAGTGACCTTTGCTATTTTGAGATTGCTATTCTGTGGACACTCAATGCACTGGTACGGGTTTAGTTGACCTCAACTTTGCTTTTCCCCAGTGTTCTAAGCTGCTAAATGTCTGTAACCTACTCCTTTAATTTTTTTTTAGGTTAAAAGTAATGTTGCTTTTAGGAGTTTTATGTTCCTTTAGTTGTGGAAATGATAGTCCAAGTCGGTGCATGCTTCTAATCTTTTCTGCATGAATGCATCTTTAGGCAGCTCTATGATTGTTATGTATATGAATATATGAGTAAATACAATCATTAACATTGTATGTTCGTGTCTTTGTTGCCTTTCTGTTTGCATGATTTACAGCACTGAGCTTGGGCTTTTTTTTTCCTGCAACCCTGATAAGGAGAAACGGGTGGAAGTTAGATGTAAAATTGCTCATTGTATACTTAGAAAATACATTTTTGCATCACCCTGAACTATGTACTCTACGTGGCTGCGATTGATTGCTGTTATATTTTCTTTTTGCTTCAGCAATAGACAACTGATGTCAATTATTTCCCTTAATGAAGGTTTGCTAATCCATGCTTGGCTTTTATGATGTTTGTACCCTGCTCACTTATTGGTCTGATATTTCCAAGAATTTGTTGGAGATGTTTCCCTCTCTCTCAAGATGTTTCTGCCCTAGCATCATCAAAGGAGGTATGCATTTTCATTCACTTTTATTTGATTGTGATACTCATTCCGATCTCCTGCATGTTGGTCTATTGTTTGGAGATACTTCCTTTCCTCCTCTTCCTTTGATGCATTTACTTTTCAATCTGCACAAAAAGAAAATTAACGCAATTCAAAAACATTTTATCATTTTCAACTATGGAACTACTTCTAGTTATAACATGTTGCTATGTATTTTGCAAAACCATATGGGGGTGGATTTGTTGTTTTGTTTAACTGGGTATGCCTATCTTTTGGCTGAATACTCTTCAATGGGAAATGAAATTGAAAAAGAAGCTTAGATATTAATGGATCTGTGCCATAAAAAATGTCAGCTGTTGGAAATACATTTATGTACTTTGATTTTGTGAGAAATTGAGATTTATTGTTTTACCTGGATTCCTCTCTACTAAAGTAGCAAATTTTATTCGACCATATATTTTACAGGAATTGGTTGATGAAGCAAGGTTTTGGGGAGCATTTGGGTTTTACTCCCTCTTTACTTTGGTGAGCTATAATATTCGTCTTAACTCGCTGCAACTTATTATGAATTTTCAGTTTGTTGATTAACGGTTATATTCTTTCATTTTCTCTTAAATAAATATTTAGTTTTTAAGACTGAAAGAGCTAAAAGGAACTTTCTGAAATCAGGCGTACCTTGTAGCTGGATTGGGTGGAGGGTTTGCAACGTTCCTTATATTAGTTTTTATTTTTCCTGCATGGATGATCTTCCGTTTATCAGTCAAGTCATTTGGTCACCAATCACTCAGGTAGCAGATTTGAGACTGTTAATTCCTTTTCAAGTTTTTTTTTTTTTAATTACTGTGCAAAAATATGTTGCAAGTAGATCTTGCTTAGATTCATGGTAAATTTGACTGACTTGAACTCAATCTTGGGATTCAATAATTTGTTTCTGGCATTGTGGGTTGATCAAGTTGTTTTTGTCAGGTCAACGACGTGTTATGTTGTCCCCTTAATACCTTGCATAATGTATTCTGTATACTTCGGTGGATTTCTTGCTGTATTCTTGATTGAGAAAATGGGCATGACAGGCTCACATCCGCCTCCCTATGGTTAGTAGCCTGATCCTTTCTTAGTGAAAGATGAAACCTATCTATAACTTGTGGAGAGGTCCATAAAATTCTTGCACTTGTCTGGTTCTCTAGCAGGCTGATTATATCATTGAGGGATGATTTTCATGTCTCTTCTCAAGTGTGATCCCTTGACTTTTTGTTCCTGCAATACTTATTTGAAAAATGAAAAGTGAACTAAAAAATTGAGCTACTCTCTGGGCTCTATCTCTTTACCATGTTACTACCATTTTAAATCAATAACAAAGAAAGGAACGGGGGTTCACTTGGTTGTTTGAAGTATCTTGCAAAACTGATGTGGAAGTGCAATAGATAGATTCTTAACAGCTTCTTCTGTCTCAATATTTTCGTGTAAAGTACTTGAAGTTTGTATAGTTGATTTCACCTTTATTCTTCACGCTCTTTCTTCACAGTGCTCAAGACTAGAAGAATTTGGTGAAATTACTCTACTTTATTATTTAGCTCCTGTTTGGTAGAAATTAAAATTCAGATTTTAATGTAAGTCAAAATTAACAATTAATTTTAACCATACATTCCATGAGATTCACAACTTTTCAACCACATATTTTATTAACTTTTATCAAATTCTACTAAAAATCTTATTTTAATCTCCACCAAAAGGAGGCTTAATTTTGTCGAGACATGAACTTGGAGCCATTTCTTTTCATATTGAATCATTGAGTTTTGTTTTATTATTATTGGATTTTGGTGCAATTAGCAAGAAAGTCTGCATATAGAAAATTTTTTTGGCTAAAATTTCAATAAAATGGATTTTCATTTTCTTCTAGAGCTAATGATCCTGTGTGGAACTTTTCTATGTTCATTGGCTTATGTAATTTCCTTGTTATGACAACAAAGTTTGCAGCAGTAAGAAAATCAATATTTAACCCTAATTGATTTTTGGTTGGCTACATAAGTCCTTTTTTGCCACTCCGCTTTACATCTCTACATCTGCATAAAGAACCAATCAAATAAAATCCTGTACAACCACATCATACCATTTTCTACTTTTCCCTCTTCTGACATTGTTCTACTGGGACAAAATCAATTTTGTTAATGATAGTTTCTTTCATTCTAGCAAGACATGTCTTTAAGTTTCTCTTCTGCCATTTATTCTCAATTGGTGCTACTTCTATTAGTTGGTGTATGTTCTCATTTCTTATTTGGTTCGTATACACAATATTTTCATTTCTATTGTATCCATCTTATAGGCATCTTGTCCTTTAACGACCCTACCCTTGCTAGCTGTCCATAGTGAATAATGGACCTAACTTTCAACAAAAGGGATAAATCTATAGGATGAAGTTATAAATGTTTATTTCCATCAAATGAAAAGGACTTCTCTTTTTGGGACTATAAATTTGCATTCTATATTGCCATACTCATTTGCATAAAATGGTACATTTTCTTTGCAATATAATAAAATTGATTTTTAATAATATCTATCAACGAGATTGAAGAAGATATCAACAAGATTGAGAAAAGATTCTGTCCGAATATTATTCTACCATAATTGGATATACAATTAATTGTAAATTATTGTAATTATAGTTTATCATATTTGGGACCCTAGTATGTGTGTAATTATCTCTATTTAATGGAAGGAATCTAAAAACGAGAGATCATTTAGCCAATTCTTCTCATGGTATCAGAGCTTACCTATAGAACTAATCACTGAATCTTCAATTTTTTTCTGTTTTCCGTCTGTCCTTGGCATGGTCGTAGTTCGGTGTACTGCTCTGGATCTTCCAGTATTCCGTGTGGGTTCTGGCATTTGGAGCTTTGGGTCGACCAATTCTTGTTGACGACTTCGTTGGGTCGTCTCAACGTCTTTAGCACAATGGTGGAAACGAGCATTTTCTTTTTTTCGTCGGTATTGTTCTCATGTCGCCATCTTCAACGCGACTCTTGGTGGTCTATTGGTTGGGGAATGCCTCGAGGTCATTGAGGTCTCCATCTTCTCCTTCAGTGGGTCAATCTTCACCTTCCTTTCCATTGCGTGTTCTCTGTCTGGCATGTGGGCTTCTTCATTTTTTACCATTTCTGTTGGTTTGCCGATTGTTGTGGGCTATGGTGTAAGTGGGCCAGTTTGGACTGTTGTGTTGTGTGAGAGTTGGGCTTAGCTCATTTTTCTTCTATTGTGTGGGTTGCCTAATTTCTGGTGGGCTAATTTTCTTGTGAATTGGTATGTGTGAGGTTGGCAATTAGATCTTTATTGCAGGTGTTTTATTTGCATTATAAAGTTATGTCGATTGAAACCCTTTGTGTTAAGTTCACGCGTAAGAACTATTCCACATGGGAGTTCCAGTTCAAAATGCTTTTAAAAGTGAATGAGTTTTGGGGTCATATTGACGGGTCCTCTAAAGCGCCTGAGGATACTAAGGATTTCAGTACATGGGAAACAAAGGATGCTGGTATTATTTCTTGGATTTTAGGATATATGGACACGCACATGGTAATAATTTGTGCTCTTTCATTACTGTTAAGGAAATGTGGGAGTACTTAAAACGCATTTATTATCAGGACAATAACGCAAGGAAATTTTAGTTGGAATTAGAGATTGCCAAAGACGAAGGTAATCTCACTATTGAACAATATTATCGAGTACTCAAGCATAATATATGCTAAGGTCTCGGCAACGACCTTATTAGCACTAAAGGAGGTTAGTAAGCTAAATGAGTTTCTTATGAAAGTACGACCCGAAGTGGTGCGAGCAGCCTTATTAAATCGTGATCCGGTTCCTTCATTGGATGGGTGTCTAGGTAAACTTTTGCGTAAGGAACAACGGCTAGCTACACAGGTTCATATTGGAGTTGATTTTTCCTTACCAAATGTAGTCAACGTTGCATATGCTGCTCAAGAACGGGGAATGGGTAAACTTCAGTGTTTCTACTGTAAAGGCCAAGGTCATATCGCTCGTAACTGCCCTTCGAAAATCTGCAATTATTGTAAGGAATTCGGCTATTTCATTAGGGACTGTCCTACTAGACCTCCAAATAGGAAAGCCAATGCTTTTCAAGCTGCCATTCTAGGTACTGCTCGAGTCGTTTCCCGAGCTAGTACCAGTGAACCTTTTCTTACCATAGAGATGGTCTAGCAGATGATTGCTTCCGCCTTCTTTGCATGAGGCTTACAAGGTAAGGGCGAAGTTGTTTCTTCTCCTTGGTTTGTCAATTTAGGGACATCAAATCATATGACAGACTATCTCAATGCATAACATTCGACGCTATACTGGTTCACGACATATTCAAATTGTTGGGTCATCTTTTGACAATGTTTTTGTATCTCCGGGTCTATCTACTAACTTTATTTCAGTTGGTATGATAATAATTTTCTCTTGTGCTGGTTGTCTTGTGTAGGATCGGGGATCGGGGAAGGTGATCGTGAAGGGACTTAAAGTTTATTCCCGTTACAGTTTACTATTCCTACTGCTATCTCTCTACCTTATATTGATGTTGGGCTTAAATATGAAATTTGGCATAAATTGGGTCATCCCAATCAATTTTATCTCATTTGTTGAAATGTGATTCTATGAAGAATAAAGATAAATCTCAATTTTCCAATTTGTCTTTTAATTGTGATGCTTGTAAACTTGGAAAAGTTAAGATTCTTCCATTTCCGATTCATGGGAGCCAGTCTAATAAATGCTTTTGAGATTATTCATAGTGATATTTGGGGCGTGACACCTGTCATTTCACATGCCAATTATAAGTATTTTGTGACATTATTGATGATTTCAGTCATTACGATTGGATATATTTTCTCCGCTCTAAAAGTGAGGTCAGTAAGTTCTTCAAACTTTTGTAGCTTGCATTGAGACACAATTTTCTTCCGGTATTCGAGTTACGAGTCTGACAACGGTAGTGAATATGTCACATCAGTGCCAGACCTTCTTACAGTAAAAGGGTATTCTCTCTCAACGCTCTTGTCCATATACTTAGCGAAATGGAGTGGCGAAAAGAAAGAATCGTCACTTCTTGGATGTTGTCAGAGTTTTGCTCTTGGAATCCTTGAATCTGCCTAAATTTTGGGTGGAAGCCCTCACCACAGCTATCTATCTAATTAATGGACTTCTTGCTCATCATTTGAATTTTGACTCACCTTTTTTTGGCTTTCATGGCACACATCCTGGTTATGACATATTACATACTTTTGGTTGTGTTTGCTTCGTTCATTTGCTTCCCCATGAATGTCATAAGCTTATTGCTCAATCCGTACGGTATGCTTTCATGGGTTACAGCATTGCTCATAAGGGTTTTGTTTGTTTTGATGGTGTTGCTAATCGTTTTTGTCTGTCACTATGTGATTTTCTTTGTGAATCAACGTTACTTCCAACAATATGTCACCTTTTGAATTAGTTCCGCTTATTAGCTTCGAGGATAGCTCTCATCCTATCGAGCGTTTTATATTAGCGACGACATCTCCAGCTTCACTCCCCATTCCATTTACCGATCTCGGTCCCGATCCGGATCCACGTCCTAATTCCCATCTAGTTCTAGATCTTATCCCAGACCATGCTACTCTTCGGCAATCCACCCGTATTACTCACCCTCCTGATTGGTATGATTTTTCAGCAACCTTATTTCATTTCACAGTTCTTCTTCTTATTCTCAAGCTGTTACCCAACCATGTTGGGAGAAAGCTATGCAAGAGGAACTTCAAGCTCTTTAGAAGAATCATACATGGTATATTGTTTCTTGCCCTCATGGCATAAAACTTATTGGGTGTAAATGACTTTATTCCGTCAAGCTCGGCTCTGATGGGTCACTAGAACGATATGAACCTCAATTGGTGGCTTTTGGGAATCGTTAAGAATATAACGTAGATTATGAGGAGACCTTTGCTTCTGTTGTCAAAATGACAACGGTTCGAACTGTCCTAGCTGTAATTGCCTCAAGGGGATGGTTTTTGCAGCAGATGGATGTCAAGAATGCTTTCTTACATGGTGATCTTAAGGATAAAATATGTATGACACCCCTTGTGGGCCTCTTCTCATTACTATCTTCAGATGTGTGTAAGCTAAACCACTCACTTTATGGGTTAAAGCAGGCTCCTTGTGCTTGGTTTAATAAATCTCACTCTACTCTCGAGTTTATCATTTATCTAGGGTAAATATGATCCGTCTCTCTTCATCTCAGACGCCAAGACGGGTACAATATTTCTTTTGATATATTTGGATGATATTGTTATTACCGGGATTGACTCCGAACTAATATTTTATCTCCAAAACCAATTGAATGATTCTTTCCATATGAAGGATTTGGCCCCTTGCAGTATTTCTTAGGTCTTGAGGTACTTTCCAGTCGAGTAGGTACTTATATGCATCAGCACAAGTATACGAAGGAGTTGATTGCTTTGGCTAGACTTCAGGATGGTTACTCGATTGACACTCTTTTAGAGGTGAATGTGAAATATCGCAAAGTGGAAGGCAATCTTCTTCACGATCCCTCCTTATATCGCCAGTTAGTAGGTAGTTTGAAGTATCTCATTATTACTCGACCTGACATTTCTTTTGCCGTACAACAAATGTATCAGTTTATGCATGCTCCACTTGGTTGCGGTTCGTCGCATCATTCGTTACTTGCTGGATACGCCTGATAGGGGTCTCTTCTTTCCTGCCAACTCTTCCCTTGGGTTGGTAGGCTATAGTGATGGAGATTGGGCTGGATGTGTGGATACTCATCGCTCGATTACAGGTTGGTGTATGTTTCTTGGGAATGCACTTATTTCCTGGAGTAGTAAAAACATGATCGTGTGTCTAAATCTTCCACTGAATTTGAGTATCGTACCATGTCTTCTGCCTATTCTGAGATTATTTGGCTACGGGGTCTTTTAGTGGAGCTTGGTTGCCCTCAACTTGAGCCTACTCTACTTCATGCTGACAATACTGGTGCCATTCAAATTGTCGCTAATCCTATTTTTCATGAGCGCACTAAACACATTGAAGTGGATTGTCACTCTATTCATGAAGCTTGTGATGATTCGCATTTCCCTTCCACATATCACCATGGATGTTCAGATCGTTGTTGTGTTTACTAAGGCGATGACCCGACACCGATATCAATTTCTTGTTAGCAAATTGATACTTCTTGATCAACCAGTATCAATTTGAGGGGGATATGAATGAGATTGACGAAGATATCAACGAGATTGACAAAAGATTCCGCCCGAATATTATTCTACCATAATTGCATATACATTTGATTGTAAATTATTGTAATTATAGTTTACCATATTTAGGACTCTAGCATGTGTGTAATTATCTCTATTTAATGGAAGGAATCCCAGAACAGGAGACCAATCAGCCAATTCTTCTCAATATCTTATACATGTTTGAGGAGTTCATGTTGGAAACCTCATTGCAGAATGGAGAACAATAGGATCTTCAGCTGTTAGACTTGTAAAAAGCTTCAGTTCTCATTCCAGCTTTTGTTTGCAGGATATTTTGTTCCTGATGTTATAGTAGCGGCTATTATAGGAGTTGTAACTGGGTGGTGTGTTGGACCTCTTTTACCTGTTATTGGAAAGTGGTTAGCAACACCATCAATAGTGCAATTTTTGGTCCATGGTAGTGTTCTTGCCTTGGCCTTGTCATCACAATTCTTTCCATACAGCACGGATGCACCTAAGAGGGTTATTCTCCAGCATACCATTGAGACTGCAGGTACTAATCATACGAGACTTTGAATCTGAAGTTCATATATACATCTTTTGGATTGTGGCTGTTTGTGTGTCCAAATAATTGCAATTGGGATTTTATATATCTTCATTTCATGTCATCTCTATGGTTAAAATTTTGCATCTTTGTGGATTGCAACTTGCAAAATTATCTGCAAAAGCCTTTTGAAACATTAGCTTTTTCTGCAGTTGCATACAGTGCATAAAGTATCTGTAAATTTTTATTTTTTTAATGTCCGGATCTATGTACATAAAGTCGGTCTTGCTGTCGTCAGATTTTAGATCACTGCAATAAGTTGATGGAGGGCAATATGCTTTGGGAATTGAGACTAATTCCTTGATTTTTCTACAAGATCCTTGTTTAGATAAATATTAAGAAGCCAGAAAAAATAAGAACAGGTTGGAGAAAAACAACGGAAAAATTTAAGGACTCGAAGACAAATTTCCTCTATATGAAAATGTCACAATAATATTAGATTTTTTACTCACCCAAACCACCAAGTATCTTATGAAAAATAATACTCTACTCCCGGCATTTTTTACTTTATGTACAACCCATAAAAGAAAACAAGAAAAAACTAGGATGCTAGGCTTACAATTTTTCCTCTCATGAAACCCGCTGTCACGTACACGAAAGTGTAAAAGAGTGTGTTAATTAATAATTCATGTATATGAAATTTGACATAAAATCTCCTCAATGCAATTTGCCGGACATGTGCATGATCTGGCCGGAAGAATCTGGCAATCTTCCAAATTGCTTGCCAACCTTCTTTTCCCAATAGCTAACCAATTATAGGAAAATTCTTTCACTTTAAAAGGAACCATCAAATTGCACAAGGCCAATTCAGGTTTAAACCTTCTTTTATTCCAAAAAAAAAAATAATAATAATAAGTTGGTAGCAAGATTAGGAACCTCTTGAGGCAATATTCCTTGTGTACAATGAGCTCTTGAGCCTTTTTCCACTTTAGATTTTTTTGGCCAATGAAGGGCTTCAGAAATATTGAATGGACTGCAATGGATGATAGGATATGGGAATAGTTTCCCATTGAAGAATTGAGATGCTCTGAAGCCTGTCACTCAGCTAATTGCCCCAACAGTCTAAATGTTCTCTATTTGTATGTGGCTCATCCTTGACTTTATTTTCATAATTCTTATCATTTTTGTATTAATTACTAGGTGGTCTTCTAATTAGAATTTGTTCTCAATTTGACAGATGTGGATCAGATATTGGATGCTAGTTATGATTTTTCAGTAGTTGATTCCAATTCTCTCCTGTTTGTTTTCAAACATGCACCGGAAGTGGCAAAGGAACTGTATATCAATTCAGAATTAAAATTTGACACTGTTAATCAGTCTCAGCATGAGAGATGGATGGTACTTTTTTGAACTTCCGTGTTTAGGGTGCCCCATGAAATTTGATTGTCTTCAGAAGAAATGTGTCACGAGTCAAGAAGACATAATCAATCCTGCCTTTTTCTGGAAGTTGATTGACGTTTTCTGCATCTTAGAATGCAAATTCATGAAGGCAACAGTTTTAAAAGCAATTGTAGTGTTTGATGATTTTGTAATCTTAGCATGCAAGGACTTTGTGTCTTGCTTTTTCTAACTTTGTTCTCTCTGGTAAATGTGTTTGAAATGCAAATGTACATGCAAAAATATGCTGAGCATTATGTTTTTGTAGCCTGCTCATCTCTCTCTATGTGCTATCGCCTTTTAGCTGAAATAGCAGCATCTAACAGCTCTGCCATCTGCAATGAAGTTCTTTACAGATCTGATAGCTGTCAAATGTCCTAACATCTACAATAAAATTACTTCCAAATTCATGATTGTTGTGGAAAGAAAATCATAACTTCATGCTTGTTCTTTTGCAGGGAATCTTCCCGATATCATCCTTGTTTTCTAGAAGCTTGAAGTTTCCTGCAAAGACCGAGGATATCTTGGAACAGTACCAAAATTTCCCACTGTTATCAACTTATCAGCCACAGATTATTTCTACTGGGGGATCCCGACGAGTCTACTTGGAATTTTCCTTGGGGTAAGATCGTGAAAGTATGCTAGAGTAATGAATATATACTGATAACTTGCTAATTTTTTCAATTTCTAGTGCTGAAGTAATACCTCTTACTACCATGTTGTTTGGTTTAATTTAGCACAAAGATGCTTGTATCTTGTCTCGTTATTTTTCTTGTGCCATCTGAGCAATGAATCTCCTGTTCTCTCAGATCTTTGAAGGAGGTGTGGGTTGCAGTCCTTAACATCACTGGTCCGTTATCCAATTGGTCATTTGCAAATAATATGCTTCCAGGTGATCTGACTTCTATTTATATTGTCCAAGCCCTACTTCAATTTTTTATTTTGCTGTATACTGAATCCCTTGGAATCTTTGACAGCTCCCGAAAAGGTTGGCAATGGCCCACCATCATACATATGTAGACTAAGCGGTGCACACCATGAGAACTGGACATTTTGGTTGGAGGTTAACTTTCGATCAGCCGTTCAATTTTTTTCTGCTTCCCCTTCTTAGACTCGTTGCTATGCCTTTTCCCATTTGGCTATTATATATCCTGTGCACTAAAACAGTAAGGCCAAGCGAGCATGAAGTTGATTTATATAAAAAGAATTCCCAGAAGAAACTGGAAAACTGAACTTGGTTGTAGGCTTTGTTCGGTTGGATTAATTTGGATGGTCGGTCAAGTAAATGTCAATTTTTTTGTGGACAGACGTCTTAAAACATTTCATTGTACTACTATTTATCAAAGGATATACCGATGCCAGTTAATAAGGAAATGTGAATAATCTCGGTTTCTTGACAGAACTTAGTACATATAAAAATGATATTAGCTGCATCAGAAGTTCAATTTGGCTATTTAGTCAGATGTTTCTATAATTCTTCATTTAGTACTTCTTTTCTATAAAAATTGCATGCTTGCGCTATAGTTCCCTTTCTTTGTGGACAGTATTGCTTACTCGGTGTCATTATCATGTTTCTTATAAAGGATTAACCAAGAAAGTTACTGTAAAATTCTTTGCAGTAACTGAGTTTGATTTAGTTTGTTTAAATTACGCAGGCTGGCAGTTCTGAAGCTTTAAGGATTGATGTTTCTGTTATGGACTTATATTTAACCGAGTCGACGAAAAGGCTGAAGGGCCTTTTTCCAAATTGGATGGACATCACAACTTTTACAAGTTTCATATCCACCTATACTTTCTAGTTTGATAGCGTTTATATTTATTCCAAGTCCACTTTTGTGGGATATTTGGAATGTTTATGATATATGGTACATCAAACTGAACCGAAATTTTGTTATTTCTTTAATCATGTATGCTCGTCTTCGATCCCATGTACAAACTTGTCTTTAGTGGATAAGATTATGACAACAAACTACTTTACAAAATCGATTTTTTTTGTTTTTTTGTTTTTTCCTTTCCTTTTTGTATTTGTATTTGCTGTTAGATTTCTATTGTTGACAGCAATTTGTTGATTCTCCTAGTCCCTGCTATTGGATGAATGGTTTTGATTGTGATCTTGAAGTTTTAACATCGCACGATTGATAAAGTATGTATAAATTAAAAAGAGAGAGAGATTCTGGAGTTAATTGTTACAATGATCACTAAGCTTATATATATGTTTTTGATTGCTCTTTGAATTTTAAAATGTCAAGTTTTAACTACTGAGCTTTGAAAAATGGTGTACGTTAATCATTAACATAACTTCTGTTTTAAATCTTTAACGAAATTGATGACGTGGTAGACGGAATGTACATGTGACAATCCCTCACACTGTCAATTTTTGAGATTAGAATCTTGGCTGCTAAATTTTGAAAAATATCTTCTATTGCTGATTAAATTTTGAGGTGGTTGAATTTTGGGTATTGAACTTTGATATGGTTGAATTTTAGCTATTAAACTTTGAAAAAAAAATCTTCTATTACTCACTATAAATTTGGATTTAATTAAGCATTTGTTTATCTTTCTTTAAAACAATATTATTTAATTTTTACACGCTCATTTTTAACCATATATTTATACAATAAAATATTTTATACATAAACTCAAATTTTTTTTTTTAAACTTTTTAACCACACATTCTTAAAAAAAAAAAAAAAATATTTAGAACTCTTTTTTTTTTTTTTCTTCTTCTAAATAATGGCCATCAAACAAGGGCTAAATTTCAAATTTAATTTATTCTTAACAAAAAATATATTATGGTTCATTGCAATTGGTAGTCATTTCTTTTGCACAGCATTGTTAAAATTTGAGGAAGGCATGTGAAATTGTCGAAATGATTTTCTGGAAAATATTCATTGTCAAATGTTGCTTCTCAATTTCTTTTTAGAAATTAACAATTTCAATAATGTGAGAAACGAAATCATTAATTTTTTTGAATGGTTCGAGATATGCTATGCGTGTCGGAGGGGTTTGACAAGATTCGTACTTAGAGATAATTGTTTATTTTCCATTGATCGTTCGCCAAAAAAAAGATAAATAAATAAATAAAAATAGAGAGAGAGAGCCATATAGGTATTGCTTGCACATCACCTGTACACTCGTTACCTGGCGGTTAATCTTAACATAATGACTTTTCCAAAAATTTTAAAGTTCAATCAGAGTTGAAAATAGCATTGAAATGGATTTGTCCCTTGAATTTGTGGACCCCAAAATACCCTTTGAACTATTCTTAAATCACAATCATTTCGATAGCATATATTCAACATCACTTGAATATTTTCTCATCGGTAGGATATTACATTATAGTATCACATTCAATATGATATTCAAGAGGTTCTCCATATCTATCACAATTTTATAACGTGGATTAACTACGAATAACTTCATTTAAGCTCATGATGAATTAATAATCCTTCTAAAGCAATTTATTATTATTATTTTTTAATATCCCAAATATTTTTATTTTGTAGAGGTTTATTGTGTAACGTTTTTCAAACATGGCGATGTTTTTATGAGGTGCAATCTTTTCATTGAGGAATGACTAAAGAGGGGACATGATGTTTGGAACAAAAAATTTGAACTTGATTAAGTGAATCGGGAGGTATATGATCACCTAGATGATAATCTAAACATTTAGCACCCGTTTGGTCCCCCTTTTTTTGGGAATGAAAATGGGTGGATTAGTGTTTTTTTTTTTTTAAATGAGTGGTTAAAAATAAGGAAAAATTTTCAGTTTAGAAGTAGTATTATTTTATGAAAGATTGTGTGGTTAAAAAGAGGAAAGTGAAAAATGAAATAGATTTTAATGGGGGCCAAACGGGGGTTTAGTCTCTATTTTTTGCGAAAATTTAAGACTATAATAAAAATTAAAATTAATAATTAATTTTAAGCATATATTTTATGGGATTTATAATTGTTCAATCATAAGTTTTATCAAGCCCCTGTTCGAGCCCCCTTTTTGGAAAAAAATGTATTCTTAAACAGTAATTTGATATTATTTCAATCATACATTCTTCAATAAAATAATATTACACGTAAATTCAAAATTTTTCATTATTTTTTAACCACATATTCTCATCAATACATTATTTAAAAATTCATTTTTATGAAAAGAATGAGACTCAAACAAGGGCCAAATTTTATCAAAATTTACTAAAAAATTAGATTTTCATCCCCACCAAACATGGATTTAATAAATTTATTGATATTTTTCTTGTGTGTTTTTATTCGATAAAAGGTTGTGAAAATTACATAATCCTTAAAGATAACAATTCAAAAATCAAGGTTGAAGTTTCATCATTAATAAATCAGATATCAAAATACTTCTCACCCACTCCATCTAACAAAACCCTAATTCATTTCCTAATTCTCTCTCCCCACTCTCCACCCACCATCTCTCTCCCGTGGTGAGCCTCCTCGCCTCCCTACGTCCTCTATGTACCAACCATCACCTCTCTCCAACAATCACGGACTCCTCATCTTCCTATCGTCTCGGCCCACTGTTGTCTCCAGCCCAACCACCTACCCTCAATCTATATTAACCCAAAAGGAAAGTGAATCGTCGACTAGAAAGAGTGCGAATCATCGCGAATTGCGACGGTTAATTGACTCTGTGCGTGCCCAGATTTGAACTCATGAGATTCAGAGAGATGGGGAAGTAAGCGAAGCTATTTACAACGCTGCGCGGTAAAGCAAAAGCAGATCCACCCGCTTACTGCGACAATTTTTCAAGTTGTGTTAGTGTTCCGACGGTGCACTAGAGATTTGGATGGTATGTTTTGTAGTGATAGTGATGGTGATTTTGTGGTAGTGGATCTAACGGTTTGGGGTGGCTTATATTGAATTTGGTTGTGGCAGGGGTGGTGTTGGTGGTGTGTTTGTGGCAAGGGATGGTGGTAATTTTTGTTGGTTGTGCAGTTTGAAGTACTGGCAGCGATGATTTTTGTGTGGAGGTGTAGGTGAAAGAGTTAACGGTGGTGGCAATCATCGGTTGCGGTGGCGATTGACAATGGTGATGGTGATAATAGTGGAACTGGCGATGGTCGTAGGGTGATGGTGGTCACAAGTGGTGGCGGCGGTGGTATGTGACCCAATATTTGGTATATGTGACCAATTGTTGGTTATCGGCGATCAAATATTAAATCGTGACCTTAAAAATTGAAAACTTGTGACTGCAAAATAATTTGTGACCAACAAATTTGAAAATATGTGACTCAGACTGACAGATAAATTGTGATCTATAATTTTTTTGATTTGTGACCAATGGAATAAACTGTGACTTATAATTTTTTAATTTGTGACTTCGAAATAATCTGCAATCTACAAACTTATTGATTTGTGACTTCAAAATTGTCCGTAACTGATTAATTTGATAATATGTGACCAGTAAATAAGTTGTGATCAATAATTATGTATATGTGATCATAATTGTATAATCTTGACCTTATTATATTTAATTAATAAATATTTTTAATTAATTAGCTAATACTTGAATTTTAAAATTTGACACCTAAAAATTGAATTGTGACAGAGTTACCACTTGACTTTTGATTTTCCCCTAAAAAGTTTAAGGAAAATGCAGTACTTCTTTTGTTTGCGGCCCACTAGGCCTGAAACAGTGTAAAAGCCTTATTCTCTGGGCTCAAAAGATTAATCAGGCCCATTGCTATCTACTAGGGTGTTCAGCCCTAGGGTTTCGCCATTTTATAAGAACTGGCGCTACATTTCATTTACAGAACTCGAGAGAAAAACCCTAGACCACAATTCCCAGTGAAGTCAGCCGCAGAAGCAGCTACAATGGTTTCGTTCTGTTCCTCCCCTTTATCCATCTTCATTATATAAGTGTAATTGTATGTAAATGTATATAATTTGTTGTGCAGCTTTTAATTATTATTAAATCTTTATTGCTCTAACAGGTGAAGTATTCGAGAGAGCCCGATAATGCCACCAAATGTAAGTGTTCTTTTGTCTGCTTCATGATTTTTTCCGTTTTAAATTTTACTGTTATTGTTAGATTTGTGCTTTTACCTGTTTCTTATTTGTGGTATTGATTATCGCAGCCTGCAAAGCCAGGGGATCTGATCTCCGAGTTCATTTCAAGGTATTTACTCCTTTACCGTTGCATTTTCCACTTATTTTTTTACGCATTTTCTGGGTATAACTCGTGTATTTGTTACTTCCGTCTAAAATAGTATTAGTTCATTTGTTAAGTTTGCGTACTTGATGAATATTTTAGTTGAACTAACGCATGCTGTGTGAGTAACCTGATGAAAAAAGCAGGGATCTGTTACCATTTGTGAACTGGTCTCTCGTAAACTTCAGGGATAGAAAACCGCAATGTTATTGGGTGAACCTCATGAGTACTGATGATTGATGGTTCAGTAAACAATGCTACATTATTATTCTGGGTATAACTCGTGTATTTGTTACTTACGTCTAAAATAGTATTAGTTAATTTGTTAAGTTTGCGTACTTGATGAATATTTTAGTTGAACTAACGCATGCTGGGTGAGTAACCTGATGAAAAAAGCAGGGATCTGTTACCATTTGTGAACTTGTCTCTCGTAAACTTCAGGGATAGAAAACCGCAATGTTATTGGGTGAACCTCATGAGTACTGATGATTGCTGGTTCAGTAAACAATGCTACATTATTATTCTTTCAGTGAGGATTTGAATTATGATATTTGGAACTGTACATGGAGATTTTGGATGAGAATTATTTTTTATCATGGATTCAGGAATTTTTGGTCACAAGGATTGTATGCCTTGTTATATGGATTTGCACCTCAATCATGGTTGTAGGTTAGTTATGTCCAATATAGCCTTTGTTAAAAAAATAAGCTGTAGTTTGCTGTATATTTAAGTAAAATTGGAGTTTGATATGAACTAGTTGATGAAAAAGCAGGGATCTGTTATTTTTTGTGAACTGGTCTCTCGTAAACTTCAGGGATAGAAAATTGCAAGGTTATTGGGTGAACCTCTTGAGTTCCATTGATTGATGGTTTAGTAAACAATGTTACACTTGCAATATTATTCTTTCTGCAAGGATTTGCATTATGATGTTTTGGAACTGTGCCTAGAGCTTCCGGATGGGAATTAGCCTCTGTTTGATCCCCATTAAATTAAATTACATTACATTCCATTTCTCTCTCTCCTATTTCAACCACACAATCTTCCATAAAATAATATTACATGTAAATCGAAAACTTTTCCTTCTTTTTGAACCACTCATTTTTAAAAAAAAAATACTATTCCTCTCATTTTCATTTTCGTGTAATGGGGGGTCAAACAGGGGCTTATTTTTATCATAGATTCAGGAGTTTTTGGTCACAAGAAGTGTATACCTTATTATATGAATTTGCACTTCAATGCATGGGTGTAAGTTAGTTATGTCCAATATAGCCTTTGTTTTCAATTTTAGGCGTTTGAGAGTTTGCTGTGTATTTAAGTAAAAATGGGGTTTACTATGAACGACCTGATGAAAAAAGCAGGGATCTGTTACCTTTTGTGAACTGGTCTCTTGTAAACTTCAGGGATAGGAATTTGCAATGTTATTGGGTGAACCTCTTGATTTTCAATGATTGATGGTTCAGTAAACAATGTGACATGATTTTTTTTCAGTAAGGTTTGTATTATGATGTTTTGGGGTACCGTGCCTGGAGATTTTGGATAGAAATTAGTTTTATCGTAGACTTGAGGAAGTTTTGGAATATGTGAGCTTTGTATGCCTTGAAATATAAATTTGCACATGATTGCATAGGTGTTTGTTTTGTGTCCAATGTAGCCTTTGTTAATAATTTATGAGGTTTTAGAGTTGGATGCAAATTTAAGTAGAATTGGTGCCATACTATAAACCTAACCTGATGAAAAAAGCAGAGATCTGTTACCATTTGTGAACTGGTCTCTCGTAACCTTCAGGGAGAGAAATTGCAATGTTATTGGGTGAACCTCTTGAGTTCTGATGATTAATGGTTCAGTAAACAATGTTACATAAATATTCTTTTGGCAAGGGCCAGTATTTTAACGTTTTGCATAATGTACATAGAGATTCTGGACGGGAATTAATTTTATCATGGACAGGAATTTTTGGTATATGTGAGTGAGCTTTGTATGCCTTAAGACCTTGTTTGAGCCCCATTTTTTGGATAAAATGAATTTTTCAACAGTGTTTTTACATCATTTCAAACACACATTCTTCAATAAAATAATATTACACGGAAATTCAAAACTTTTCTTTATCTTTTAACCATACATTTCTCATCAATACACTATTCAAAAATTCAATTTTCCCCCCAAAATGGGGCTCAAACAAGGGCTAAATATAAATTTGCACATGATTGCATGGTTGTCTGTTAGTTGTCCAATATAGCAGTTAACTATCTAATTAATTTGAGAGTTTGATGTATATTTACATAATAGGGGTATAATATGAATGTAACCAGACGAAAAAAGCAGGGATCTGTTGCCCTTTGTGAACTGGTCTCCTGTAAACTTCAGGGATAGAAATTTGCAATGTTTTTGGGTGAACCTCAAGTTCCAATGATTGATGGTTCACTAAACAATGTTACACCATTGCTATTTTCCTTGATGTTTGTTTTTTGACGTTTAGGATACTGCTCGTGCAATGTGTGTTTTAACTTATATGTATTTCATACACCATTTGTTCTTTAACCGTTGCATTCTATTTAATTGGAGCATCTTTAAACATTGAAGTTAGTGCCTGCTTTACATGATGTGCTAATGGTGAACCTTTGGAAACTCTTTACAAGTAATGTTACTTGAATTTGTACGCAGAATACCAGGGAGACTGCTCATGCCATCAGAAAGCTTCCCTTAACAAAAGCCAAAAGGTACTTGGAGGACGTCTTGGCCCACAAGCAAGCCATCCCTTTCACTCGCTTTTGTGGAGGTGTTGGGCGAACTGCTCAGGCAAAGAACAGACATTCTAATGGACAGGGACGTTGGCCTGTTAAATCTGCTACTTTCATCCTGGATTTATTGAAGAATGCCGAAAGTAATGCTGAGGTACATACATTATTTCTTCTGTATGAATTGCCGCTAAATTTTCTTTTCATACATTAGATGTTAGTGATTCTTGTGACAGGTTAAAGGCTTGGATGTGGATGCACTCTACATTTCTCACATTCAGGTGAACCAGGCTCGGAAGCAAAGACGTCGCACATACCGAGCTCATGGAAGAATAAACCGTACGATCGACACATTTCTTTTTAATTGTTTTCTTATAAAATCATTTCAACCACTTTTAACTGAGAAGGATGACATGTTGTGCAGCTTATATGTCATCTCCTTGCCATATTGAATTGATCTTATCTGAAAAAGAAGAGCCCGTGAAAAAGGAGGTAGTCACATTTTCGTTTGTACTGGATAACTATTCAAGTTTATAATGCGTTGTATCTCATAAATTTAGGCTGCTTTTCTGATATATCATTGTTTGACATTGTTTTGCAGCCTGAGTCACAGTTGGCAACTAGCAAGTCCAAGAAGGCTTGAGATTGACCTTGAGATACTTGAGTTTAATGGACTATCATACAGTGTTTAAGCTTGTTTTGAAGCCTAGTACTTTTGAATTTTTTATTGGAGACAAGTTTCTTAATTTTAAAAGATACTTCTATTTTAGTGGATTCGGATTTGTCACATGGTTATTCATGCTTCTATTTTTGGAAGAATGCTTAAATTGCTTTAGGGGCTATTTGGGTCCGATTTTTTCATCCAAAAAATTGATTTTTTGTCCGTTATTTTACTATTTCAGCCGTCATATTTGACTTCTTCTCTCACAGGTGGACTCCACTTTTCTCCTAACGGTCAAAAAATCAATTCTCAAAATCACTCACAAACAAGCTCTTAGTTTAACTTGTTTTTGGGCATTTGCACGAATCATTCGTTAAATTTTTTGTTAAATTCATCCAAGCTATATGGCTCGATAATTTGCGTCTAGATCTTGCAATAAATTGTATAAAAGATTAGTTTAAAGATACAATGACCACCGGTTGTGTGTATGTATGTGAATGATTTATTAAGCATCGATGCTTAATTTATGTTAAGTATAGGTGATATGACAAATCATTTAATTGGTGAATTATTAAATATATGGAATCTACAATTAACATATTCATTAATTAAATGATATGTCATATATATATATATATTTACACACTAGCTAAAATTGAATGTGAATTGTATTTATTCTAAAAAATTTTATAAATGGTGTAAAAGTAATATTTAGCACCAATTTATTGGAGGATTTGATGAGTTTAAGAAGAATTAAAGAAAATAAAATTTAAGAGAAGACAATTGTATTTTCAAAATTTAATTTTTATGATTTAAAATTTTTGTAATGATAAAATATTATAACTGAACAATCTTTTTATATTATATTTGATACATGAAAATTAATTATTATTATATAAATTTAAACATTCATTAAAATTTATAGATACATGAATACAAATAAATTCATGTATAATAACTCTAGATTTATGTAATTAAAAATTCATCAAGTGAAAATTCATTGAATTTAGGTTCATGTGAATGTTAATTAATTGAGAATTAATAACACAAATTTCATAAATGACAATAATTATGCAGTATTTATTACATATCTAAAAACGAAAAATAAGGTATTATTGAATTGTAGAGAGGTTAAAAGCGCTCATACTTTAATATATTATAGATTACAGATATATTGTTTTTGTTGGAGAAATTTTACCAAATTTGAGTAGAAATCACAAAATATGAACCGGAAATGCCAATAACAAGAAAATTATGAATTTATATCAACGAACGGCTTGAATACAATATCGTTATGAATTTGAGATGCTTCGAAGGTTGTTGGCAAATGGTTTACATGATTATAGCAAGCCTTGCAAGGATTTAAGCACCAAAATACAAGTGCAAATCCTATAAAACTTGAAGAACACAAAGAATGAATATAAATATGACTTTTAAAAACTTTGATATTTGATTTTGGAAGTAATATGAAACCTTGATGTTTTTGTGATTTTTTGCCTTCAACATGGATACAATATATATAGGCATACACCACATTGACGAAATGGTACCAAACGTTAAGTCAAAAGTCACCAAATTTAAATTTACAATAGGGGAAAACGGCCTCCAACGACCAAAAAGTTGTATCATGCGACCACATTATACAAAACCATGCGATCGCATGGTTTACTCATGCCGAGACCAAATGGTCTCGGCATATGGCCATGCGACCGCATGGCGTGCAGTCGCATGGACCACTTTTTATTTATTTTTATTTTTTATTTTAATAATTGTTGTTGATTTTGAACAACATAATCACCGCACCCCTCTACTTGTTCAAAATTAACAAGTCTCATATTCATGATATACGATACTCATGTATAAGGATTACATATCTTTCGATTTGAAACTAACCATAATGTAATTCAAACAAAGTATAGTCGAAATCAAAGGTAGCGTGTAATTTTGAACTAGTTATTCTATATGACAATATCGGTAAGAACGTACACACGAGTGCCACGTGTTCTCAAGTTCCTCATAACTCGCTTAGCGCTTTTATGACCTTGCTCTTATCCTTTTCAATAATCTTTTAAGTGAGAAACTCCAACTCCCTATTAAGGCGGCACCACCCTAAAAATTGTTTAAGTGAAGTTATTCCAATACCTTTGTTACTTTTAGAGGTACTTGTGTTTTAGGACTGAATTTCATTAAGAGCTTAAAGCTCATCCCTCATTTCAGTAACAACCAGCGTTAATTTAATTAGGATAGGATTATTGTAATTTTTTTTATTAATGCTGCAACTATTCACATATCAAATGACTTGTTGTTACCATTTAAACCCGTAAATTACTCTTTGAGTAATGACATGTACGGTTGCTGTCATTGGTGAACTTTTTAGGTTAAGGAGTTTCAACCCCATCTTACTTGAAGTAGATGCTACTAAATTTCTGTTTAGAGGTTTAGTCAAAAGATTTGCCAAATTCTTAATTAACATTACATAATTTAGGGAAATTATTCCATCATTGATTAACTTCCTTATATAGTCATGTCTAAGACTCATATGTCTAGACTTTCCGTTGTATACCTCCTTATATGTTTTTGCTAATGTGGCTTGACTATCACACATGATAGGGATTGAAGAAATATTCTTCGATCCCAAAGGTATCTCATAAAGGAAATCTTTAAGCCACTCAGCCTCTTTCCCGGTATCCGATAGAGCTACAAATTCAGATTCCATGGTTGAGTGTGTTATGCATGTTTGTTTCTTTGATTTTCAAGAAACAACACCTCGTCCAAGAGTGAACGACCAACTCGAAGTGGATTTACTCTCACCGGCGCTAGATATCCAACTAGCGTCGGTAAATCCTTCCAATATCGCCGGGAATTTAGTATATTGCATGCCTAGGTTCTTGGTTTTCTTTAAGTATCCAAGAACTTTTCCAATGGACTTCCAATGATTATAACTTGGACTGCTAGTAAACCTGCTAAGTTTACTTATGGCATAAACTATATTCGATTTTGTGCATTGAACTGCATACATAAGACTTCCTATAACACTAGCATATTCTAATTGAGCAACCACCCTTCTATCATTCTTTACAAGTTTTGAACTTGGATAGACCGGGGTACTATATTCTTTTATTTTCAAGATTTTGAACTTGTTTATGACATTCTCAATATAATGTGATTGACTTAGATGATAACCCCCACTAGTCTTAGTGACTTTGATACCTAAAATGGTATCCACTTGACCAAGATCCTTCATTTTGAATGTGGAAGATAGAAATCTCTTTGTTTCTTCTATACCGTCTATGTTATTACTCATAATCAACATGTCGTCAACATATAAACATATAAATGTCACATAATCACTATACACTCTAGAATATAAACATCTATCTACGCCGTTATGTTTAAATCCAAATGATGTTATAGCTAAGTCAAATTTCTCATGTCATTTCTTAGGTGTCTGCTTCAAACCATATAAGGATTTTACTAACTTGCATACCTTATGTTCATTTTCAGGTAAAATGAACCCTTCAGGTTACTCCATATAGCCTCATCGAGATCCCCATTTAAGAATGTTGTCTTGACATCCATTTGATGAACATGCAAGTCATATATTGAGGCCAATGTGAATAATATCCTAATCGATGTTATTTTAGCTATCGGTGCATAAGTGTCAAAATAGTCGATTTCTTCCTTTTGTCGATATCCTTTAGCTACTAATCCAACTTTGAAAGTATTTAAAGAGCTATCCACATTATATTTCCTCCTAAATGTCCATTTACATCCAATAGGTTTGGATCACGGTGGAAGATCGACAAGTTCTCAAGTTTTATTAGACTTTATCGAATCCATTTCATCTTTAATTGCATATTTTCAAAAAATGCTATCACGAGAAGCCATAGCTTCTTTATAGGTTTTAGGGTCGGTTTTCACTTGTAGAACAAAATGAATTGTTCTTACAACATTCAACTCATTTCATTCTACTAAGTAAAAGGAAATAAGTTGATAATCAATTTCATCCGGTCCCAAAGACTTCTCAACTCGAGTTCTCTTGCTTCTTCTTGGTTCACTAGACTCATCAACGTCTTTAGAAGACATTTTATCATGTGTTCCACTTGAGCTAGATATGTTTTCAATATTTTCCTTTAATTCATTATCCGATGATAACAAATTTTCAAAGAACTCTAAATCACTTGATTCGATAATCACATTGGTCTCCAAGTTTAGCAATCTATAAGATTTGTTATTATTAGCATATCCAACAAAAGTACATTTAATGACTCTTGGACCCAATTTGGTCCTAGTAGGATTTGTGTTCTTGCAATAAGTAAGACACCCCCACATTTTGAAGTATCCAATGTTCGATTTTCTTCTTTTTCACAACTTATAAGGAGAAACCTTTGTATATTTAAAAGGAATCTTATTAAGTATCCTACATGCACTTAATAAAGCTTCACCCCATAAATTAAACGGCAACTTATCATATATAAGCATGGCATTAATCATTTCTACTAAGGTTATATTCTTCCTTTCAGCCAAACTGTTTTGTTCGAATGTTCTAGGTGCAAAACATTGGTGAATTATGCCATGTTATTCACAATATAAATTAAATTCACTACCTCTGTCACTTCTTAAGATCTTTATTTTCTTATTTAAGTGATTTTCAACTTCATTCTTATAAGTCTTAAACAAATCAAAGGCCTCATATTTGTGTTTCATCTAATAAACATAGGTATATCTTGAGCAATCATCAATAAATGTCATGAAATATCTATTTCCACCTCTTGTTAGCATGCCATTCAATTTACATATTGGAATGAATTAATTCTAATATGCTAGAAGTCCTCTTAACACTTTGATAAGACTTTTTAACCATTTTTACTTCTACACATGTTTTACATTTAATCGCATCATTTTCATCATATGAAATTAAGTCACAATTTTTCATGCATTTCATGGTACTTTTACCTATGTGACATAATCTAGCATGCCATAAAGAAAATAAATCAATCATGTAAACAAAATGAACTTTATTTATTTCATTGTCAATAGTACAAAGTTTGACCATTCCTTCACATGAATAGCAATTTTCAACAAATTTTTTGTTAAGTGATAATACAAATTTATCGGACTCAAAGATACTTTTAATGCCCGATTTTCCCAAAAGATTTTCACTCACTAAGTTTCTATTCATATCCGGAACATGTAGTACATTTGTGAGAGTAATATTTTTTCCAGAAGTGAAAATTATTTCTACACTTCTTTTTCCAATTACTTTGGACCACATCTCGTTGTCCATTTGGATCTCTTGGTCTCCATCCACTTCATTGTATGTTTGAACAAAGATTTGTCATATGATACATGCACCATGGCACAAGTATCATATCACCAGCTTGGAACCTTTCCCTTAATTCATTTATTTCACTTACGGTGGCCACAATCTTATCTTGTTGGATGGAATTCACTTTACCCTCTAAATTGTTGTGTTTCCGGTATCTACAATCTTTTACGTAGTGTCCAGATTTCCCACAAACAAAGCGTCCTCATTTCGTTTTCTTCTTGAACTTATTAAGGTTCCTCGAAGGCTTCCTTTTGTTAGATTTTGTTGGCAGTTCGAAATTTCCTACAACATTTACTTTGGAAGTGCCCTCATGAGAATCATTTTTATCATGTATTCTTGACTCTTCCTCAATCCAAATATGTTTTTGCAGTTGTTCCAAAGAATAATCTTCGGAACTATGCATTATCTTCTTCCGATATCCTTTCCAAGTTTCGGGAAGTTTGACAATTATAGCCCTCACTTGAAATGTCTCCAGTATTTCAATTTTCACCGCCTTCAACTTATTGACAATTACTTGCATTTCATGTATTTGGGGATGAAGGGGAATATTGTCTAAAAATTTAAAATCGAAATACTTAGAAATTAAAAATTTCTTTGTACCTTATTATTCCGCTTTTTACTTATTTTCGAGCACATCCCAAGTTTCCTTTGCTGAAATTGTATTTGTATATAAGTCATACAAACAATCCGATAATGCGTTGAGAATGTGACCGCGGCATATTAACTCATTTTCTTGGCGCTTTTGTCTTTCATTCCTCACCGTTTCGGGTTCTCCATTTGTTGGTTCCGGTAGTGGCGCCAATTTCGGATTTAGGATGTAGAAGATCTTTAGTGCAGTGAGAAAAAACTTCAATTTGTCTTTCCATCGAGTATAGTTCGTTCCATCGAAACCGATCTAACCTCACCCAAGTCTTGATTTATGAGTTTGATTGTCACCATCGTTGTCTCGCTTTCCATTGCAGAAATATCGTTTGAAATTGTTGGAGAAATTTCACCGAATTTTAGTAGAAATCACAAAATATGAACCGAAAATGCCAATAACAAGAAAATCACGAATTTGTATCAACGAATGGCTTGAACACAATATCGTTGTCCTCAAATGATATTTTTCCCTTCTCCTATGAATTTGAGATGCTTTGAAAGTTGTTGGCAAATAGTTTGCAGGATTATAACAAGTCTTGCAATGATTTAAGCACCAAAGCACGAGTGCAAATCTTAGAAAACTTGAAGAACACAAAGAATGAATATGAATATGACTTTTAAAGACTTTGATCTTTGATTTTGGAAGTAATATGGAACCTTGATATTTTTGTGATGTTTTTGCCTTCAACATGGATCCAATATATAAAGGCATACACTACATTCACGAAATGGTACCAAACTTTAAGCCAAAAGTCATCAAATTTAAATTTACAACGGGAGGAAACGACCTCCAACGGCCAAAAATTTGTACCATGCGGTCGCATGGACCACTCTTTTTTTTTTTAAATAATTTTTGTTGATTTTGAACACATAATCACCGCAGTTTTACCTAATTGTAAGTCCCATGTTCATGTTCGATTAACATATTCTACTAGAATAAGGAAATAGGACTTTTGGTTAGGGGTGTTTGTTGTTTGGTTCAATTTGGAAGAGAATTCAACCGAATTGGTAAATGGTGGTTTTATTATACATCTATAATCTATTTCGGTTGGTTTGTATTATTACATTCAAATCATTCAATGCAAATGACAAGTTCTATCTTCATATATAAATTAGTTATTTTATTTCATATTTAAATATAATGATAGAATCGGATTGAATTTTAACTTTTTCGCACTTTTTAATAACACGTTTTTAAAAAATTACTGCCAAACATTTGCTTAGTGTTATTTGTGTCAATTAATCTTAAGATGTTGTGTGGAAGGGAACCACTCATAAAGTCTTCAAAGCCAAAGGCCCAAAAGGCTGCATATTGAAGTTTTTAGTGGAAATTACAGCCTACCATACATTAAAAATTCAGACTTCTAAAATCAGGCCCAATGTTTCACTATTCATAAATCAGATATATAATTGAATATTAATAGTAATTTTATTAAATTAAATTAATTTATAAACCAACCTACCTTTACCCCACCTCATTTCTCCCCACCCCCCAATTCTCTCTCTCTCTCTCTCATATCGTCGTTGTTGTCAGGGGCACGGCATCTGCAGTGTAGACCGCAGCGGCGGTGGCGTGCGGCTGTCACGGGCGGTGATCTGCAGCGGTGGCGTGTGACTGTCACGGCAGCTGTGGCGTGCGGCCGTCACGCTGCACAGATCGCAGCTACAGCGACGGCATGTGTTCGGCTGGGATGGGTGTGTGTGTACGTCGGTGTGGTGGTGTGTGTGGCGGCAATGGCGTGTGTGTGCGTAGGTGGTAGCTGTAGTGGTGTGCGTATGCGTGGGGTACATACTGGGATCTTGGAAAATGCTGGGATCTGGGAGATGAAATTGGCACAGCCTCAATTGGTGGCTTTATCGTCGTCGTGGTGGTGATGGATCTGTGGCGATCATTATAGCATGGTTGGTTATGGTGGAGATGGATATAGAGGAGACGGTGGTGGCAATGGTTGCGGCGGCGACGATACGTTTGTGGTGGTGGCTGTGGATGTGATAATGTTGAATCTTAGGTGGAGGGGAGTGGTAATGTAATTGGTCGATTGAGCTGTTGATTTGAGGTATGAGGGCATGGTATTGGTTACTCGGTGGCGAGGGGTGGAAGATTTGGTAGAGGCGGTGTATGGTAATGGTGGTGGCGATGTCAGATTAGTGGGTTGGAAGGCACAGCTGCTGCTCGTTAGAGAAATCTGGTGTGGGTAGTGGAGGCGGTTGTATGCAGATTCAAACCCGGCTGAAATCGATGGTGTGTGATGCCGTGGTTTTGTATGGTTTGTGGTTTTTAATGGTGGTTTTGCTGTGATTTTGGGTGGTAGCAGCGTTGTTAGGCTATATCGGTGGTGGTTATGGTGGTGTGGGGGTTTTGCTGTATGGTGATGGTGTGAGGGTATGACTTATAATCTATTGAGTTGTGATCGAAAAATTAATTTGTGACCTATAAAATTTTTGATTCGTGATCGAAAAATAATATGTGACCTATAAAAAATGTGTTTGTGACTTATAATTTATTGAGTTGTGACTGAAAAATTAATCTGTGACCTATAAAATTTTTGATTCGTGATCGGAAAATAATATGTGACATATAAAAATTGTGTTTGTGACTTATAATTTATTGAGTTGTGACCGAAAAATTAATCTGTGACCTATAAAATTTGTGTTTGTGACTTATAATTTATTGAGTTGTGACCGAAAAATTAATCTGTGACCTATAAAATTTTTGATTCGTGATCGAAAAATAAGTTGTGACCTATAAAATTTGTGTTTGTGACTTATAATTTATTGAGTTGTGACCGAAAAATTAATCTGTGACCTATAAAATTTGTGTTTGTGACTTATAATTTATTGAGTTGTGACCGAAAAATTAATCTGTGACCTATAAAATTTTTAATTCGTGATCGAAAAATAAGTTGTGACCAATAATATGATAAGTCGTAACTAAAAATTAATCCGTGACTAATTATTTTTGAATTTGTGACCAATAAACAAACTGTGACTTACAAAATTTTTGAAATGTGATCGTAAAAAAATTTGTGACATAAAATTTTTGATTTGTGACCAAAAAATAATAAGTAACTAATTATATTATTAATTTGTGACCAAATTGTATAGATCTGTGACCTAAATATATTTAATTAATAAAATAATTAATTAACTAATTAAATTATAAATAATTTTTAATAAAAATCTGATTTTAGAAATTTGAAACTTATTTTCTTGTTTTTGAAATGTACTATAAATAATTTTTTAGTTATGAAATTTTCCCTTATTATTTACATTTTTTTCACCTCTTACTTTGGGTCAAAACTTGCTTTAATGATATTTTATTAATTAATAATCGGCGGTCACGAATGCTTGCTTCTTGTCACTGTTCCTAATCTGACAGTCAGCATAATTCTTCTTCAATCGTAAAAGCAGCTGGTTCTGTACAGTTACATTATTTACCAAAACCTTTTTCTTCAGACAAAAATCCTCTGAACTCGTCGCTTCTCCGGTGAGAATCCCTCACTCCCTGTCTCGATACACATACATGTATGTGTGTATATAATTTTTCGATCTATTTTTTGGCGTCTTTTGGTGTAGATCTTAGATTATTTATTCCAGTTGTGTATGTGTGCATTCGATGGTTTTGATTAGTCGTTTTGATGATCAGAGGAACGCTTGACGATAGATTATAAATATTGATTTGGCGAATTCATTTTTATAGTATAGATATTGGGCTACGCTTTGTACTGTTGAATTGGGGTTTTGGTCTTGAAGTTAGGAAAATTGAAATGATCTTTAACAATTTCCTACTCAATCACTCAATTACTTCAGTTCTGTATTCCAACTTCCAAGCATTTTATAATTTATTTAATTTTATACCCTGGGAAAAATTTGTATTTCTAGTCTTTAAATCCTTACAGTGACTGTTTTTTTCTGAATGAATGTAGGAAACATAGATTACGTTGGAAAACATTTTCTCTTGACCCATTTGGAAAACAAGATTTGTGATATATCATTCAATTTTCATGTGCTTGTACTTGGACAGGCAATTGTATACATGTTTTATATGCAATTGATTTTCTCAATGGTGGATTTATAGATGGATTGGCAAGGACAAAAGCTGGCAGAGCACCTGATGCAGCTGCCGCTGGTACTTTTTGCAGTGCTGGCATTCATCACAGGATATGTGTTGGGATCATTTCAGACAATGCTGCTTATATATGCTGCTGGTGTTATATTAACTTCTCTGATTATGATTCCCAATTGGCCATTCTTCAATCGCCACCCTCTCAATTGGTTAGATTCAAGTGAAGCTGAAAAGTTCCCCAAGCCACAGCCTGCTAATTTGGGCACGAAGAAGAAAACGTCTAAGAAGTAGGTCATTTGATTGACTACTCCTAACTAGGCTTTCTACATTGCTAGAGTCTTCCCATGTTTCAGGGATGTATTGATACATTTCATGGTGAATTTTGGATCAATGGACTACATGATTCTTGTCTGCATGGAAAGTAGTATAACTTTATGCAATGTTGGAAGGAAGTTTTCTGTTTACAATGATTTGGCTTTTATCCTTTTATTTACGATGTTTTGTGCATTCCTCCTGTTACCTCTGTATGTTGATGCAATGTGGACTTAGTTGTTCTGTTCGTTTCTAATATGGCTTGATGAATTTTGGTACTGTTTTATATAGTATGTTCCCCGTTGGTGCCTCTCGTTGGAATCTTAGAACCTATGAACATATAAACTATATGCATTAAAATTTGTTGCTATTGTTAAAGGCCATGCCCTTTGCAGTTGATGAGTTGATTACCGAGGACAGGTTTTAACACCAAAAAATTATTAACTAGACGACAATAAATTTGCTTTATGGTCTTTGGTCTGGCCTGGATTTTAAATAATGAGCAAATCTGATACTGATTCTGATTTGAAATAATGAGCAAATCTGATACTGATTCTGATTTGAATGTCTATAATTCCTGTCAGTCAGTCTACATGAATCATCATAATTCTTTGATCTGTTAATTGTTTCCCTCTCTCAGGTATGTTTAGAATTTATAATTTTGTATGCTTTATATTTTTATTACCTGGGTGATCAACAGATAATTTTAGAGGTTTATGGTTTAGACAAAGCACTGAAAAACAGTGTTTTAATAAGTGCCAAAGCACCTCATTTTAGGCCTTGATTAAGAGCCTCGAAAGCCTACACTTTCAGTGCTGTTTTTCAAGGTGAACTATTTTGCTGACTGAGGGCATAAGCCTCAGGGTACTGAGGCTGCTCGCCTTAGTTTTTCCCTTTATGAGCCTTAGCATTCTTAGCTTTTTGGGTGTTTTTCTTATATCACAAATGTTTTATAGATTATGTGGATGGTTTTAAATTCAGTCTAACTCAAAAAACTAAACCCCCATTTGGCAAATTTATAAATCAATTTATAAACAGAAATACCAGTGGGTCTCGAGAAATGTCTAGATAATATTATGTAGTCGTTATGAATGTGTGGTTGAAATTTATGTTTGATTTTGCTAAATTTATTAATTAGTTTATATGTTCCAATTCATTCAACCAAAAACGGTTGAGAAAACCTCCATTCTTTGGTATGAGGCCTCTATTTTTCCCCCAAGGAATCTTTAGAATTTCCACTGCTTAACTTTCAATTTGCCTCGACGGTCATCCATACGGTGGTGAATTCTGGGCCTTGTACACACTGCCTGTCACACCATGGGGATTCTAGTTGCCCTGTCTTACACAGGCTTGGCTGAAGGCTTTACCCCTTTAGTGGCGTATCCGAATTGAGGCTAAAAAGGCGAGCTTGCCCCAACTTATATTTTATGTTCATTTGAACGTTGGGCTTCTAGTGTTGTTAAAATGTTTTATGTTTCATTTTAGATTTTTCAAATGATTGATAATTTTTTCTGTACTATTTTAAAGGTCAATGTTGAGACTTATGCCTCAAAATGCATTTAGACTAATGCCTTGTTTTACATAGGCAAAGGTTAGTAGTGGAGCTTATCTATTTTCACTCTGCGGAGCTAGTACACGGATCGATCTCTGTGGACCGTGGTGAGGTTGCCATAGGGTTGAAAGGGGGTAGGAATCCCCTCTCTCGGGAGGTGCAGGGGCAGAGCTCCTAGACCAAAATTTAATTAAGGACAATTTTGAAATTTGTGTTCTTATAAATTTCGTGTTAGGTAGAGAATGTAGCCTCAAATTAAGGCGAACTTTTCCAAATCTTGTGTACTTTAATTTCTTTGTACAAATTGATTACTTCCTGTGGAATAGAGTAAGTGTTTCTAATTCTCAACAAAGGCAAAAATGGCTCGATACCTATTTATGTTTCGTTTGAGATTGCTCATAGAGCATCACATTCTTATTGAGAAACACCTAACATCTATTTTAGGTGTTTGGTAAACTTAATAAAATCTATTAATGGAAGAATTTGTAGTATTTGGAAGTATATTTTGAGAATTTGTAGATTTTGCTTTTAGCTTTCCAATTAATCATTAATATCTCACTTTTTATATCTCGTGACTAAAATTAATTCTTTTTCTTTTCTAGGCCAATTACTTTTATGTCCTTGTTTGCTCTCCATAATGTTGAATATTTTCGAGAATGAAAGCTGTAATGGATAACAGAATGCTTTCGTGTACTTGTTGGGGGCAGGATATTATCGACTAGCTCCAGTTACAGACATCGAGGGTAATTCTATGAGGGGTACAGTGCACTTCTTTTGATCTATCTGCCAACTTTTGCTCGTTGCCGCTATTTTTACTCTGTATACGTTGATTCTTCATTCTTGGATGAATGCAGTCTAGAGATGTGATTATCACAAGATTTTAACTGAAAATATGAATGTTTAACTTGGCATTTTGGAAATGAAACCATTTTGAGGTTGGGGTTGAGGTAAGGATGGGTTATGATTCAATTTGGTAACGTAAACGACCATACAAATGGAGAATAGTATCTGGGTTGGCACGAACGTACATTGACTTTGCTTGTAATAATCGGTTAGTTGTTAAAGATGCAGGTACACATGTAAGCGAGCTTTTTGCTCGTTCTCATTTTTCACTTGCGTTTTTGCTTGAGAACATCAACAAGAACAACTATCAGTCGTAAGATTATGTTACTTGTATATAAAAATGGTATATAAAGGATTATATAAAATTGTGTGGAGTGAAAAGATTGGATGAAAATGTTGACGGTATTTTACTGATAAATAATAGAATGACATGTGACATTATGTGATCTATTATGTAAAGCTTGATATACATATAGTAAGGTCCATTAGTGATATATGTTCACCTATAAGTTTGTTGGTTATTCAGTTATCTAAAAAACGTGCTTAGAAATGAAGCTTGCCATCCTATTCAGAGGCGGACCCAGAATTATTCTTTAGTGGGGCCGAGACGGAAAGTTGACTAAAATAAATTGTGAAAAAAATCTGAAAATTTAAATTTAACAAGGTCGAATTGAAGGTTTTTGAAAATTTAGTGAGGGCGGTCGATCTTACTCGTCCCTTAGTGGGTCCGCCTCTGGTCCTATCATGCTTTACGATTTTTACGTGTATGTCCATTAGACTCATCAAAGCCTAAAGCTTGACTTTGTTCATCTAACTGTACTTTACTCTTTTTTAGAACATTGCTTTTAGTGATTGTACCTATCAATTCTTATTGCTAGTCTTTTTCTTTCTGTAAAAGAAAACTAAAAAGTCCTTTTTGACCCTCCGAAAGGCCATTGGCCAATCTACAATAATCAATTCGAAGAATATTGTTTTTAATTAATGGGTTGTGAGTGATTTTCTTTGAACTTATCATTTTATCTCCTTATTTGACTCAAGACCTTTTTATATAGTCTGTAGCAACTAAGATATGAACTTGATAGATAATTAGTTACCTTGATTGACAACATCTGGAATGTGGTTTATTAAATCCCAATCCTATTTGACTTTTTCTCTTCTATCTTTAGAGCTGAGCTGGAGAGTAGGAGGATGGATTATATCTATACACTTTTTATGATATATTATATTAAGTATTTTTTAAGAATTATACGTTAGTGGGTGGTCACAAGTGGCTCGTAGGAGATTTTAAAATTTCCCCAAAACCATCCAAATTAAAGAATTTAAATTTTTTTTTGTTACTTTGACATAAGACAATCAATTTCTTGTAGATCGTTAAAGTCTACGAAATTTGGGCTAATACTAAATACACGTCATGATGTGTATGTTACTTTCCGTATTAAATTAGCCATTAGAAGCAACATATGAAAGCCCCACTGACAGCATAGTCAGCCCAAACATATGAAAAGATGAAGCAACAAGTTTATGAAGGCTACGAAAGCCAAAACCCTTGTTCTGGCCAAGGTGTCACTAAGCCAAATATATGCCGAAGCCTTGACGAAGGGTTTATGCCGAAATCCTCTTGTTTACGACCAACCAAAATTTTAAAAGATGAGACTGAAGTCCTAAGAGACGAGGAAGTTGCCACATCTTCCAACTTAGAAATTCTGAAAGACGAGGCGAATTCCTAAAAGACGAAGAGGCTGCCACATCTGTCGACCTGACGAATATCTTTTTGAAAGATTGATTAGACGTCTACTTTATTTTATGTCAGGAATATCAACCTAGAAATACAGGACAGTTGACCCTTTGTTAATGTATTAAATGCATGTATAAGAATTATGTGATTTATAGAAGGAGGTGGGGGCACGTGGTTCGGATCAACGGTCGCCACGTCTTCTTTGAACTCTATATATACCTTTCCTTTTGGAGAAGAAAAAAAATGAGAGATGTTTGGAACAATAGAAACAATACATATATAGAAAGAGAGAAAGGGGAGAAAACCTAGAAAAAAGAATAAGAAACAAGTATATTAATTTTTGGCACATTTTGGAGGGAAAAATAAACACTATTCAATATATTTCAAGTCATTGGCTCTCTTATTCATTTTCTTTCCTTTCTATTTACATGCGACTATTCCGAGTATGTCAAGATGAAATTATATTAACGCATTTTCAAGTTTTTCGATCACTCTAATCGGCGTTCAAACTATTTAGTCGCGCGTCGAAAGCATGTCCTTTGTATTCAATTTCACCGTCTAATCAAACAAGCAATCTTAACACATCAGAATTTGCCTGCATAGACACGTGTGAATCCGGCATCTATTGGTACCATTTTTTAGCGTCAACAGTGTATATGATGGTTACAAAAAAAATTATCATATTTTCAAAATTTACATAAATTTTCCTTGTAGGCAAAATTAAATATACAATATCCATCTTGTCCGTAGATTTCAAACAATCTTATTTATGTTTTCTTAATTTTAAATTAAATAAGAAAAATCGTTGAAGTTTAAGAAAGTACTCATTTTGAATAAATGCTTACAGCTCTCAAAAACAATTTTTTATAAATGATCTTTTAAGTATCGATGCTTACCTTATGTTAAATAACGATGATTAGCACTTTCATCGATGCTTAAGTTAAGTATCGATACTTAAGATATATATATAAATAAAGATTTGGAGTTGTATCTAAAAAGGTCAACTTTAATCAGAGGAATAGTCCAATCTGTGTGCTCATTTTTTTTGTATTAATCGGATTGAATCGTTTGTTTGAGCTTCATAAACTCTAATACTTTATTAAAATTTAGGTCTCCATCTTAAAATTAAAAGTAAGAGCAGTTGTCCAATTCTTTATTCTTTATAAGATGAAAGTTGATCAATATATTCATCTTTATTTTTATACCTTAACAATATATATACCCATTTCCACGCTTAATCTGTTGTTCAGATCTCTCTCTCATTTCGTCATATCCTTACAATATCCGTAAATTGTTCTCCTTAACAATTATCTGTTTCTATCTTTTTACTGGGGGTTTATCCAAGTCATACAGTCGGGTAAGCATTGCGATAAGGATTAATTCATTAGCATCTGCAGATTTATATGTGGGTTGTTTTTTTTTTTTTTTTTTTTTTTAAGGGTCGTTTGTGATAATTAAATTTGGTGTTATTTAGATCCAATTACCCCCACAAGGCTTGTTCTGTATTTTCACTTATCATTTTTAGTTTAAGGCGCTGCAATGGAATTGCTCCATTACTGAAAAATTAGATCTTGATATTACTCCCTTCTGGATGTATATGTTTCTTTTAATTTCTTTTTTTCTCCCCCACCAAGGTGGGGGGTGAGGAGTAGGGTGTTTGGTGTGTGGCCAATTGTGAGTGATCACTTGACTTTTTGTTATTAACTTTTATATTTGATTTCGTGAACAATCTAATTTGCTTTCTGACTAGTCATATTCGGACAAATTCGAAGTAAATTCCTATTTTTGGCTAGTTGTTCATCAAAAGTATAAGTTACTATTATATTGCCTGAAACGCAAGTTGTTTATTGATTCGCTTTATCTGTCATATGAATAACCAAGTTGTAACATTTTTTGTTGGAATATCATCTCCAGTCATAAATGTGTAGGCTCCCAGGAACCTTTAGGTTTATATTCTTGTTCGTTTTCTCTACTTTTACCATTAAGTACAGGTGATTATTTACTACAGAGAAATGGAAGTAACAGGAGGTTAAGAAGTCTTAGGTTATGGCCTTGGCAGGTATATCCGCACTTTTACCTTTTTTCCAATCATATTTGCATTGTCTAGTGCATGATAATCTATTAGTATAAGTTTTTGTTTCTTTTTGATATTTTCATGGCTTGCTGAAAATTATAATTACTTGGGCAGTGTGTGGGGGGAAAATCAATTCACGGAAAGATAAATTCAATATCGTCCCTGTTACCTTGAAGAAGCAGAATTATAGTAGGACCAGTAAAAGTGGTATGGAATTCGAATCTGATTGGACGCAGCATAGAAAATCTTTGGCCTTCACAGCTCAAGCGATCCGATTTGCAACATCTTTCATGCCTTGGTCTAGTAGAATCCCCATAAAAGAAGGATATCATGAATTTCTTTAATCAGGTAACGATCTTTTAGTTACATAGATGTTTACTTTTGAGAGTCACATTTGCTTAATGATTATTATGTTTAACAATTTCTTATAGTTAGCAGTCTGAAGAATGTTTAGTATGAAGAAGAGAATTACTGAATCAGATATGTGTTTCTCCAACTCAGTCCAGCAAGATACTCCAGCTTCTAAAAGCAATTGTCATTTAATTTCTAAGGTTACTGATGATTATCATGTTCCCATCTTGCCTGGATTGCCAGATGATGTATCAAAATACTGTTTTGCTCTCGTTCCCCGATCTAATTTCCCTGCTATGGGTGCTGTATGCAAGCGGTGGAGGTCATTTATCAAAAGCAAGGAGTTCATCACTGTTCGTAAACTAGCTGGGACGCTTGAGGAATGGCTTTATGTCCTGACTGTGGACGCTGAAGGAAAAGAGAGCCACTGGGAGGTTTTAGATTGTAATGGACATAAACACCAACTACTCCCACCTATGCCTGGTCCTGTTAAAGCTGGTTTTGGTGTGGTGGTTCTCAATGGGAAGCTTCTTGTTATTGCTGGTTATTCTGAGGTAGATGGAACTGGATCTGTCTCAGCAGATGTTTCCCAATATGATTCTTGCCTCAACAGGTTTATTTTATTCCATTCTCCATTTTTTCCATTTCCCCTTGTGTGGAACACTTTAGCTAAAGTATATTTCCTTTTTCCAAGATGAACTTCCTGGATCCAAGAATGGCTTCGCAAAACAGAGCTGGAAGAGGTTTCATTAGAGTGAAACTCTTAAAACATGGATTGTTGGTTAAAATCAAATATATGACCTAGGAGCCTTCCTCAGAATTGGATGGTCAAATAACATGTTAATCTGATTTTGCAAATAAAAACAATAGATTATGTATAGATCAGAACAGCATTTGTGACTTAATGTTTCCTTGTCAATGACCCTGTCCTCAAATTCCATCATAATTGTAGGACCCAGGACGTATGAAAATTTAATAGATTGTGGGTTCAGACTCTTTAATAGACACTTGTAGTTGTCCTGTTTACTGTTGTCAATTGCACTTCAGTTCTGAAAGATTAATCAGCATAAATGACTTAGATTGTATGGTAGATTTTGAAGCTAGAATGCTTCCTGAAGTCGACTAACTAGCCTTGATTAACACTTGGTGCTCGAGGTTTCGTTATACTTGCGCACTTTGAACAAAGACCATATGCAAGTTGTTTAAGGTTAAGAAAAGTTCAAGTGTATGCCAAATTTGAATGGAAAAGAGTGGAGACATTCTTCCTGTTACCATAAATGTTGTGGGATCTTCATCAACTGTATTCTCATTATATAATATATTAAAAAATCTTTAGCTATCAAATGGTGGAATTCCTTTTCAACCATTTCATGCGAAATGCCATGGGAAATGATCGTAAACTTGTCTGCTGAAGTTAACAATTGAAAAATGTGTACTGTTGCAAACATTAATTGGCACTTGTTCAAACTAAACTTTGTGGAATCATTGTTTTGCTAATTGGTTCAACATTTTCCAGTTATTGCAACAAACATAGTAGAGCGAGAAATAAAATCTTGTTTCCTTGTCTGTCATTGGTATGCTGTAATAAATGACTACCTATTGCAGCTGGAGCAAATTGGCTAGCATGAATGTGGCACGCTACGACTTTGCTTGTGCCGAAGTAAATGGCATGGTCTATGCTGTTGGAGGATATGGGATGGACGGAGAATCCCTCTCTTGTATGGAAGTGTACAACCCTGATACTGACAAGTGGACTCTAATAGAGAGTATGCGCCGGCCAAGGTGGGGCTGTTTTGCCTGTGGAATCGAGGGGAAGCTCTATGTTATGGGTGGGAGGTCAAGTTTTACGATCGGAAATTCTAGGTTCATTGACGTATATAACCCTGAGAGACACACCTGGTGTGAGATGAAAAATGGTTGTGTTATGGTTACTGCCCACGCGGTGCTGGGCGAGAAGCTCTTTTGTATGGAGTGGAAGAATGAGAGGAAACTAGCAATTTTCAACCCCACAGACAATTCATGGAAGATGGTGCCAGTTCCCTTGACTGGAAGTTTGAGCATTGGGTTTCGTTTTGGCATACTGGATGGAAAACTTCTGCTATTCTCGTTACAGGAGGATCCTAGTTACAAAACCCTGTTGTATAATCCAAATGCTGCCCCCGGCGCTGAATGGCAAACTTCTGAGATAAAGCCGTTGGGTTTATGCCTGTGCAGTGTCACAATTAAGGCATGATTTGGGTGTCGAGTCAAAATCATTCGATGCTGGTACTCGGCTTGCTATCTTCCTACCACTAAAATCTTATCTTCTGGCCCTATGTTTTTGTTCAGTAAAATTTGTAATATGCATATCCCTCTTTATATTTTTGAATCAACGTGAATTATTATCAGGGCTCTTTTGTAATTGTTGAATGTTTTGATAAATTGCAGTTTGAATGAATAACATGGCTTGAAATTAAATTGTATTAGAGCAAAGATTGACACGATATCCATCTAATGCTATTTTTGAATCAATGTTGCACGCTATAAGCCGCAGCATCTAATGACTTGGACACTACTACAATCAGCAACGAAGACAGGAAGTAGAAACAAACGGGGTAGAAAGCAACAGTATATCTTGGGCTGATCTTATTAATCGAGTCTTTGTTAAATTGTCATGGCAACCATCCTGATACGTAATTCACGCTAGGCCCTGCTGTCGGATCACTGTACCTGAAATTTAAATAGATTATTCGATCAGAACAGTACGATGAACAAGATTTTATTATATGATATATATATATTAGACTTCACTTCAAAAGCTAGTGAAACCAGCAACTAAGATGAAAGGTGTGGAGAATTTGGTTTTATCTTAATATAGAGACGAAAGGGCATACCCAATATGGAGAGTAGGTTCACATTCCAGCGGGTGAAAGAAAGGATCGGTTGTCTGAGGTTGAGCTGCTGGTGGTCTCCCATAGCTCACATGATCTTGATCTTGAGCAATTGGATTCCACTGCAGACTGACTTGGTTTGATTCAATCAACTACAAAAATAATCCTCAACGCTTAATTTGCTTAATCACTACTTATAATTGAATACAAATACAACTTATTATAAGTTAATTCTCTTCTTAAGTATACATACCCATTGTTTCAAACTCCTATTTGCTTCATTGAGTGCTAGCTCCTGTCCATATTTAGAAACCAAAACATAAGTGAAACAATCGAATATTTATCAAACCATTTCTGTATAGTTACTAAGAAGCTAAGTTGTATACCTTTCTTTGAAGATCAGTGAGTGTGTCCAACATCGCTTGGGTCTATGTATAAAATGCAAATATCAACATGTCAACATTAGTTAACAACATTTTGCAAGTAACATTTTTGAGTGCACAAAATTTGACAAGGATATATATATATATATGTATGTATTAATTATGAATTACGTTAGATCAACTGAGTACCCTTTTTGATCTAATCTGCTTCAGTGACATATCAAGTTGACTCTCTAGTGATTCGAGCTCTTTGCTGTTTAAAGGACCAAGATCCTCACCAAGAAGGTTCCTGGTGGTGATTTTTAGCAGCCAAATAAAAGCATGATTAATGAGTTCATCCAAACTTCATTTCTCCATGATTTTAACTCGTACAAGAAAAAAGGGGGAAAAACGAAATAATATCAATCCTAGTGACTGAAAACCTTTGCGAACGCTGTAGAGCTTCATAACGAGCTTTAAGCTTTAAATACTCCTGCTGACTACTCAAATCCTGTAAACATTATATATCAAGATGAATGATTTAAGCCTTGATGAAGTGAGAAGATAATATACAAAATTTAGAACTTAAACGGTACCTTTTTGGCATGTTTATTAAGGTGTCTACTATACTCAGTATTGTATACTAAACATGCTTTTTTCGTTCATTTAAATGGCATATTGGAACATACCCTCATCGTAGTTTTCATATATTAGATCTACTCAATTGCATTATAGCCCTCGTATAGTCTATTTAGTATTTACATTGCATCGTCTCTTACATTATAGAAAGCTGAGTATAGCTTTCAAAAAATCCTACATATGTACCGCTGTAACAGCCATATGTCCAAGAGTTACTCGAACAAATCTTCTTCCTTCATTTTCGATTTTATTGTATCTTGTGGAAGTTCCTACCTACCTTAAAAGAGAAAGTGGAAAGGTACTACTCCAGCCATTAAATTGTGAATTTCCGGTTGAGTGTGAAATGAATGAAGTCTGAGAAGAGCGGGAAATTTTGAAGAATGTGTTGAAGTGGAGAAAGTGAAAAACCAATGATCATCGGAAACTTAGAGATAACCACGTCGTAAAATCTTTCAAATTTAATGTTTTATGAAGGAAGAAATTTTGTTAAAAGTATTTTGATGAAATTGCAAATTTTGTAAGAAACAATATTTAAGGGGATTCAACTTTTTTATTAGGTTTTACAGCAGAAGAAAAAATTGCATAATTTCTTTACTACTATCAATCTTATCTGTGAAACTCAGATATATTTGTCAATGACAAATTTACCTTTGAAGATTCATCTCACATTGAATTTCAAGTTCGATAATCATTTTAAAAAAGGGAAGAAAAATATTTATCAATGAAAAAGAGAAGGAGAACAATTATAATCAAATAATTATGTAAAAATAATTAATTATTTCTTTACCAGTGCCTCAGTTGCTGATATATTTGGCTCTGGTGCTCCATAGTTGCACTTTTGGTATCTGTCCAGTGTTTTGAGGATGCTGCATAATAGTACCAAAAGTGGGGAAATAAGCATTTAACTGGACACAAGACTGCCTTGAATCTAGACAAAATACTGAATAAAGTAAATCATATCAATCTTTAGATTTGAGTTGAAGAGGAAGATTAATTGAATGAAAGCAAACCCTAATAACATGACAAATAAATCCTCCCCTATCCCATTGAAAAGAAAAAAGTATTTTTTTCATCTATCCAAAATAAGTAAATTAAAATTTCACTTATCAGAAAGAAATCTGACTTCCAATTTGGACTTCATTAGAGGTTTTCAGATGGAAGAATGACTGAGAAAATATAAATTTTTATCCCATAAAAACCAAAAGAAAAGAACCCTAGCTTTTATATATTTTGGGTTGTAAAACATAAAAAATTGCAATGAATAAATCAAATTATTCCAAAGAAATTATAGAAAACGATAAAGCTTTACTGAGATGAAATTTGAACGATATGTTTCTAGGATAATTTGCTTGATCAACAAGAGTAAAGCATCAGATCTTATTTCCATGAAAAAAGGAAAAATAAAATAAAAATCACTGACCCTAACCTATGAAATTTCAAAGGCTTCAAAAATGAGGAAATAATCTTCTTTTCATAGTTTCCTCTTGCAGATCTAACAAACCTAGTCCTTTTACACTCCAAATCATTCACTAAAACGGCAAAAAACAAACTCTCTTCATAAAAAGATTTAAGTTTTAGATCTCAAAACTGAAAAAAATAAAAATGAAAAATAGACACCATATCATATATACAAATGGTCAAATAGACATCAATACCTTGAGCTGCTGCAGAATTCATAGAGCTTTCCTCTATTAGAGAAGATGATGAGGGCAACTTCAGCATCGCAAAGAACAGAAAGTTCATAAGCTTTCTTCAAAAGCCCGTTTCGACGCTTAGCAAATGTCACTTGCCTGTTTATTTTATTCTCTATTCTCTTCAGTTCTACTCTTCCTCTCCCCATTTTTACTCTATCAGTCTACCTCAGAAAACCACAATATTCTATCTTGTATCTTCTGAATTCTTTCTTCTTACTACCCAGGCTCTTTATATATACAGCTATACCTTTCATGTATTCACATGTAAAGTCTGAAATAATTGTATCAGTAGCAGTATCATGATCTCATAAGTTGAATTTCCAAAACCCTTATTTATTTACTTTTACTTCTGGTTTGGACTCTCTCTAAACAAGTGGTTAAAAATTAAAAACTTAAAACTGAGTTGATTTTGCGGTGGGGAATGGTGGGGCTGTGGGCCATATGAACAGTAAAGTGGAGGATGATGGAAGGGAGGGCATAGAGAGAAGGAAACCATAAAACTGATGAGTTATATCAAGTATAAATACCACACGTGTCAAGATATGAAGTGGTCCAAGAATGAATAGTTTTGTTTGGAGAGCCCTCCATAGAGATTGTATTGAAAAATGTTGTTTATCGATACACAATGATTAGCACCAGTTTAGGTGTGTCGAGTTATCTTTACACCTTTTATGAAGTTGGGACGTAATTTTATATGCAGGAGAATGTAGTTCTGGCCAAACTGCTATCTAAATTGATAAATAGCATTATTCATTAATGATTGATGATATAGATTAAAAATAAAAATAAAAAACCATATTTATATGCAGGAGAATGTAGTTCTGGCCAAACTACTATCTAAACTGATAAATAGCATTATTCATTAAGGATTGATGATATAGATTAAAAATAAAAATAAAAAACCATATAATTGTTAAGACATGCTATAATGCAATAATGGATGAACTATCTTTTAGCTTTGCCAGATGTCCTAGGTTTAGACAATTTTGTAGTGTGACATGTCCTAAATTTGATTCTCCATTTCATAGGATTTTTGTTAGAGCTATTTATCACTTATATATGGATCAAAAATTGGAATTAAAAAAGGTCGTCCAATGTCAAAGAGTTTCTATTAACTGATACTTGGAGTTTCATTCAAAATGTTATCTCTCGCATCACGCTATGTTATTCTGATTGAAAGTTTGATACATGAACTTTGAGTTTCTGTGTAATTGTTAATCATAAGGGTGAAAATATTGGAAAAGCTATTGAGACTAATTTGCATTTATGGGAGTATGGAGAGAGTGTTTACAATCACAATTGACAATGCAACTGCAAATGAAACAACTATTTATTATCTTAAGAGGAAATAGACTGGTAGGAGTAGTGATAGGTGTGTTTTAGATGGAAAATATTTGCACATGAGGTGTTGTGCACATATTTATAATTTGATTGTATGTGAGGAATTCAAAGAAGCACATGATTCAATTGTCAGTATTCGCAATACAATGAAATATGTTAAATATTCTGCTAAGAGAGAATAAAAGTTAAAGGAATGTGCTAGTCTAGAAAAATTGATTGTAAAATAGTACTTATATTTTTAGATATACCAACTAGGTGAAATTTCACATATGTAACGTTGAAAGCCGCTTTAAAATTTTAAAAAGCTTTTGAAAGGTTAGAAGATGATGATATACAATGCTTAAATTATGTTTAGGATTATGACGGTGTAAAAGAAGGGGTGGACTTCCTAGAACTTTTGATTGGAAAAATGCTTTTGTTTTTGTCAAGTTTATTAAAGGTTTATTTTTTTATTTTTTTAAAATAACTTTGAAGTTTAGTACTTCATTTCACTTGGTTCTATCACTTGTAACCGGAGTTGAAATGGTGATTATCTTTTGGGTGAAATGCCTATTAACATGAAAATGTTTGACAAGTATTATGGAAATGAAAAATATTAACCAGTCGTCGATTGTTATCGTGCTTGATTCAAGATACAACTTGCAGAATGCTAATTATTGTTATAGTGATGTTTATGATCAGAAAATTGCTTGTCTATTTACGATTGATACGTGAGATATGAAACATGTTCTGAAAACAATCAAGTATCTAGCGATGTGAATTCTCAAGTGGGGTTTCTCTTGCAAAAGAAAGTTCTACTTCACGTATCTCTCACTCCTATTTCCAGGTCAACAAGCAACAAAGGATTTGATTGAACTAAAAAATAATTTCAATATATACTTGTCAGAGGCTTGTAAAGATATAGATGATAATGATGTTCATGTTCTTAATTGATGGAAGGTTAAATAGAATTAAATATAATGCTTTATCCAAACTTGCAAAAGATGTTACGACAATTCAAGTGTCTACGGTAGCTTTCAAAAAAGAGCTTTCATTACTGGAGGGAGAATTCTTAATCCCTTTCATAGATCTCAAACGACTAGGATGGTGTTGGTTTTGGTGTGTACCCAAAATTGGCTTAAAGAATTTTCACTCCGAGCATGGTGAGATTTTATATGGGGGATGTGAAGGAATATAACAAATTGAATGAAGGTAATATAGCTATTTAGCTATTCCATGGATTATTTGAATATATGTATTTTTATCTAATTTATTTTTAATTTAATCATTATTTTCTGTAGAGCTTTCAGAATTGAAAGAATAAAATGAATGCTAAATCAAAGGGAGTCATGCATTTCTAATTTTTTTTCAGGTAGATGTATAATGAATTCCAATTTGCTACTCTGTTTCTTAAAAATTTACATCAAACGTGTTTGCTTCAACTTATTGAAACTCTTTAATTAGAGTTAACGAACTACCTTTTCTTTCTATTTTACATTTTTAAGAGAAAGTTGACGAACAGAATGACACGAAAAATAAAAAATTCTTCTCATTGTATATAATATATAGAATCAGTGATTTGATTTTGTGTTTAATGGTTTTTATTTTGCTACGTTTAATACTTTATAGAAGCCTGATGAGGGTCCTTTTGGGTAATAATTTAATCTAGGTCAAAGAGACACTAATATACTTAGATACCCTAGTTACATTGGAAATTCATCTTCTGATTTATCTGAAAATTTTGATTTCTTCATCAAGTTTTGATTAGAAATATCTCTTGAAACGGCGAAATGACAATGGAAATCATACTAATTTTAATTTTATTAATCTCATTTGCATTCACAAACCAATCACAAAAATTTTAACGAAAATGTACGTCTATTGCTTGGTAGGTCAATAGTACATGTAGTAAACTAGATTTATCAGAAACTTTCTCTCGATCATATCTTAATTAGAAAGAGTAATGTTATTTACAGTCGTTCACTGTCATAGTCGCCCCATGTGACATACATGTAACGATTAGTGATTTGATATATTAATCTGTTAGTTTTTTATTAGTTTATGCAACAAAACACTACTCGCTACATGTTTACTACGTATGACGATTGTAGTAATGAACGACTGCAAATAACATTATTTAATTAGAAATATTTTAAAAACTCGTGGAATGACAACGAAAATCATATTTATTGTAATTTGTTAGACTAGTTTGTAATCTCAAATAAATCATAATGACTTTAATAAAAATATGTCTGAAAGTGTTTGTGGCTACACTTGAGTTCATGGTGGGTCAAGTGCACATGTTGTAGTGGTTTGAATAATTTGATCTCTCGACCATGCATTGACTAGAAATATCTTTACAATAGACGGAATGGTGATGGAATTCTTATTGATTGTAAATTGTTAACCTCATTTACAATCTCGAATGGATCACGACGATTTTACTAAAATTTTATATGCTGAAAGTGTTTGTTCGTACACTAAGTGCTTGGTGGATCACGATTCACGAGCACATGTTATAGTAAAGTAGATTTGCAAGAATAGTTTGATGTTTTGATCAAATCTTGATTAGAAGTATCTCTTTTATAACAATAACAATGAAATTCTTATTAATTATTATCTTTTGGAATAATTTGAATATGGAATAAATCATGGTGATTATAATGAAAATTATGTCTCAACGTACTAATGTGTACATTTAATGCTTGGTGGGTGAGCACAAGTTGTAGCAAAGTAGATTTATCGTAATCATTTGATCTCTTAATCAAGTCTTGATTAGAAAATCTTTAGAGAAGACAAAATGACAATGAAAATCTTATTAAGGATCTGTTCGGTAGTGATTATGAGAATTGATTTTTTGACCGTTAGAGAGAAAATAAGAGTTCCACCTATAAGCGAAGAAGTAAAAAAAAAAATGACGGTTGAAATAGTGAAATAACGGTCAAAAAAATGATTTTTTGGAATGAAAAATTGCTACCAAACGAGGACTAATTGTAAATTTGTTATATTCATTTTCAATATCAAATAAAGCGAAGAAAATTTATTAGAGTAATTCAGTCTCTCGATCAAGTCTTGATTAGAAATATTTTGAAGTATATAGAATGATATTGAAAATTTTAAGCGCCTTTAAAACAAAGGCTCTCATGTGAAGTTAACGAGACTGGCTACATTCAAATATAGCCAAATCCATTATGATAGAACGAGAGCAAAACTCGCCAACCGCCAACGAAGGCAATGCACCATCCTTATCCCTTCCCGATGTCGCTTCCACTAATTATAATTTGTTAAGACTCACTTACGATCTCAAATAAATCACAACGGTATTATACCCGGAAGTGTTTGTTGCCTGGTGGATTTATTAGGATAATTTATCTTAAGTTTTTATTATAAATATCTTTAGAGTACGTCTAGTGGCAATAAAAATTTTATTAATTGTTCTTCGTTGAACTCATTTGCAAACTCAATGAAAAATATACGTTTGAAAGTGTTATTGGGGATGCTTAGTGCTTGGTGGGTCAGGATCCCATCATGTTGTAAATTAGATTTATTCAAATAATTCGATTTCTCCATAATTATTATTTGTTAAACTCAATTGCATTCTCAAATAAATCACGATGATGTTAATAAAGAATATACGTCTGAAAGTGTTTGGGACAACACTTTGTGCTTGGTGGTTCAAGGGCGAATTTTGTAGTACACTAGAATTGTCATAATCAATTGATATCTCGACTATGTCTTTACTAGAAATATCTTAAGAGCAGATGGAACGACTATGAAAATCTTATTAATTGAAATTTTTAGACTCAATTGCAATCTCAAATAAATCACGACCATTTTACTAAAATGTATATGCTTGAGAGTGTTTGTTGATACGCTAAGTGCTTGGCGAATCACAAGCACATGTTAGAGTAAATTTATCAGAATCATTTGATCTCTGGATCAAGCCTCGATTAGAAATATCTTTAAAGCATTTTCTTAAAATGGAACGAGGTCTATATGTCATAGTAATTGAGATTGAAATTGTTCGTTCATTTCCTCTTCGAAGCATTATTCACCACTCCTTGGCTATAAACCTCCTTTAAATTTCTTGTTCAAATTTTCGAAAGAAAAGAAGAAGAAATTCGCGGTCCTCAATAATCAAAACATAATGAAGATTCATTTGATAGGGCTTTCAAAAAGTCAGAAGTGGTTTACGAGATTAAGAAGCTATTTTTGGACTTGTGTGGATAATTTTTTAAAAGTTTTTTATTTGTGCTTAGAAGAACTTTTGAAGAAAACTGTTCTAAAATAGCTTATTTAGGAAGCTCTTTTATAAATAATAATAATAATAATAATAATAATAATAATAATAATAATAATAATAATAATAATAATAATAATAATAGTGAAAACAGAAACCTTGCCACTAAGCCCTATTTTTACTTTACATTCAAAATTATTCGCCCCTCGAAACTAATTAAATTTGACAAGAACTAGTATTATACTTTTTGTCATTTGACTAAACACAGACTTCTCTCTTCACACTTTACTTTAAATCGACAAATATTTATGAATATAAAGTAAAAATGATTATGTTTTGATTATTGGGGACCTAGAATTTTCTTTTTCTTTTCTTTGGGCTATTGGAACAAGAAATCTACAGAAGATTTATGCCCATTGCATGGTGAATAATGCTTGGGAGAGAAAACAAAATCCATCAAAATTTTAACCTTAAATGAACAAACAATTTCTACCTCAGCTATTATGAAATGTGGACCTTATTCCATTTTAAGAAACTTCACTTTAAAGTAAGTCACATCTAATCAGCAGTCTGTGGGTACCACCCCACACCCCCATCCCTTATCAAGATGAGAAGATGAATAATGAGTTTCTTAGTTGTCTAATACAATATGTCACACTCTCTTTTGTCTGGCAGATTTAATAGTGGGTTAGTACAATGGTCAAAAGCCATAAATCTCCCTTTGGTTGGTTTAAATATGAATTATCACTTATAAGACTCGTCATTCTATTGACATAAATCAGCAAACTAGATTTGGTGGGAAATTTACGGTAAATTAGGGTTGAGTTCCTTTAACATTTTATGTAGTGTGGGTTATGAGTTTCTAATATTTTTAGTGAAATTTCAAGTTCCCAAGTTATTTAAGTATGTGAATCTTGATTCATACGTGAACAATACTATCAATGTGAACGTTAAAATTGCACGTGACTTTTATGTGACTCGAAAGTTATAGAACAAAACTATCAACCACTTAACAATTCTCCTCAGTTCAACTGAAAGTTGAAAGCAAATTTAAGATCTACAATAATATGTTCCTTCACGTGAAGACCCAACTTCACATATTCTAAGGGGGAAAACCCACGTCACACTGCGTGAAAAATTAGAGATCACATCCCTAATTTTCGCTTTAATTTACTCCCAAAGCACATGTTTATATCTGAAATATAGCTCTTGAAATACAATCCACAAACCTACAAAATTTCGACCATTGTGTATCTCGAGTTTCAAAATTTTGCCGAACTCCCAGTGGCCGAAGATCAAGAAGCACTCGATCTTCTATGCTCGCCTATAATGGAAAATTATCTATTGCTAGTAAAGATTATGCATCACAAGATTTCAACAAAAATGTATGGAATAATAAATAATTCTCATCTTTCACGCAAAATAATTTAGAAAATAGGTACGTGTCCCTTTCATATTACCAATTAATTCAAGGCGTCCATTTATTGGGCCAGAAAATTGTACTAGCCCAAGGTACAATGTTGTTAGGAATTCATGCCAAAAATATACTCCTTAAAACAAATTCTAAATGCCACACAATGCATAATTACAAATTAAAGTACTATAATGGAGCAAACCATGTCAACTTAGGTAAATTTTGATATCGGTTTTTGAATAATGGTATTCATCTATAGTCTAAAATTTAGATGATCATTGATCTATATGATAGTAGAGTCACTACCATGTAAACACATGGTCATCTAAATTCTAAATGAATATTATTATTATTATTATTATTATTATTTTATTTTTTTGTGGGTTTTTGTCTTTCTCTCCTACAAAATGACTTGCACTACAGAATATATTTTTTTTTAAATTCTGATCTTCCTCTCTTTCTTACAAAATGACTTACACATTACAAACTCATCCTGTACTTCAACAGAAATATACTCTTTAACACTATTTGAATGCCACATAAAGCATAGCATTACTATTTATAACATCATTGATCAATTATAGTCCTCTAATTGAGTAAACTATCCCTTTGTTGATTCCAATTTCTCTCAGCTGCACATTACAAACTTGAATACAGACTCTAGGACTTTAAAATAAAAAAACTATACTGCTTCTTATATAAGGTCAAGGCACCATAGACAATAACTTATGAAAATATACTCATTACTACAATTTTAAATGCTAAACAAAGCATAATTACCGTTTATGACACCTACGACCAATTAATAGGAATAGCAATGGATAACTCATCAAAAAACTTCAAGAGACAGGACAAGAAAGGGGTGAGAATTAAAATTTTCCTGATAAAAAACGTAAAAATAAAATAATTAGGGATAGATTTGGATAATTCAAGGCTAGGAAAGGGCAATGCATGGTAATGAAAAGAGATTTTTTTCATCCCTACCAAGTCCCTCTACTATTGAGTGAATGGCACTGACTGCACTTTTTAACATTGCTTTTTTGTGAATCTCTCTTATATTATTGACTCCAATCTCCCTCTTGTATATAATAGCTTCATATAACAAACTTGAATATAGACTCTTGTACTTTTATAGAACTCGAGTTTGTGTTCTTTATAGTAAGATCAAGATATCATTGACAATAAATTACACATGAAAAGTTGAGAAGCTTTGGATTCAATAACATGCAGAGGACTTGGGCAACAAGTAGAACTGTTCCAACACTAAACCAATGGCTCGTTATGGACTCTTGGAATTGTTCTGCAAAAAGAACAATAATATATCGACAGAATGCAAATACCATGTAAAGAATAGGACCACCAATAAAACTAAATTCCTTCAACTGTATATCCTTTGTTTGAAAATATGAAAAATGAGCCATCGCTAATCTTCTGGTGTAACTGCAAATCACCAAATCTATGGGGGACAAAAAATCGTCTAAGGTTTTACCTTTGATTCCAAGATCCTTTTGCTGTCAATGTAGTACTGGTTTGGATGATTGATCCCAGCATCACATGATGCCCCATGAACAGCTTCAAAAGTCAAGGTGCATGCTAACTGCATAAACAATATGTGCAGGTATCTAACTTCTTGCTTGAACAATTAATCAAAGATGACTATAAGAGTTCTTGGAAGCAATAATAGCAAGACTCGACAGTATATAATAACCTGAAAATGTCTGTTTCGCTTCTTGTCAATGATCTCTTCCACTGCACGACCACCCACTCCCATCTTAGCAAGAGCTTCTCTCAAATTCTCCTCACTGTTCAGGCAAACACAATTGATTTCTCAGGAATTGAACCAGCCAGAAAATGGAACCAAAGGTCAAAAATTGCCTAAGCATAATAATTAGATAAGCACGAAAAAGTGGTGCTTCTGATGTTACAGGTTGTTGGTTAATCGTCATTCAATTGATCAGGCTGAATCAACAGTTCTAATTTATTAACTTGTGTTTAAAAGTTTAGCTGGGTAAAATTAACAGTAGTGATACCTTTTTTTCGCATTAGGTTAATTGTTCTATAAATTCAAACTACAGATAATAAATGAAAAGTAACTGTAAAGCTATTGATTAAATCATAATTATGAAAACATAGTTAAAACCTTAAACAACTCATATAAGATCAAATTATTCAAACCCTCCAAGAACATCCAAATGATTACTCAACTAAACCAATGATAATTTAATAAAATGATTGAAACTACAATGAAGATGATAGAATTCAAGAATGACAACACAGAAATAGGAGCAAGTCATTAACAAAAGTGGAAATCTATTAGGACAAATTAGGTCAAATTCAAATATAGGAACAAAATTTCGATTGTTTCGAGAACTAGTTAAAATTTCCCGAACAAAATAAAAATTTCTTGACGGATGTGGCATGATTGCCAGCCATATGATGAATTTCATCCTATAGGAGTTCTGACCTGAAATGACGATAAGGACATCCATGATGATCTCCAACACCCGGGGTTGAACTTATAATCTTCTGACATGAATAGGGAGTGTAATCCTGCAATCCTCAAAGGATAAAGAGTATCAAAAATTAAAGGGAAAAAAAGAAGAATTTCAAGCAATTTCTGCATGAATTATCAATATATCATCCATTAATGCAACACCTTAGGTTAACAGACATCATGAGGAAATAAAGAAGGAACAAATAAGACAAAGTATATAAATCCTTCATAGTTTTTTTCTCCATTTTAAATAGAATGTATAGTCCTTTTGCAACATGCAATCTCTTTGGATGACCCATTACAGATCTACATATCAATGTAAACTTTTCATTTTCTTTCTCATAATGACCACATGGAATGAAAATTAAAAAAAAGGAAGAATCACTGATGTACACATTTGAAAGTGGAACTTTAAATATGGGCGAAAAGGAAAATTACAGTCCAAATGTCAATGTCTGTTTTACAAAATGATGTCAGAATAAAATTAGCCTATACCGTGAAGAAAAAAATTAAAAATAATTTTATTTTTAGACAATTCATCCGTTAAAAACTCATTTTAAATTTGTATTTTATTCTCAATAATAACATAATTTGAAACTTTCAAAATGTAATAAAAATAAAAAAATTAAATGGGGCAAAAAGTTGCCCCGTCCCCGCCCCGCCCCGTCTAAGGCGGGACGGGGTTTTGGCCAAACAGGGTGGGGCAAACCCAACCCGTTGCCATCACTACTACAGTTTGATTCCAGACATTAAATACTTTCCTCTTTCTTCTTTTCTTCTAAGAGAAAGGACGACTAGAGAGCATGTAGAGGCCAGAGGCCAGCAAGCCCAGTGTATGATCATTTTTACTAGTTTCTAGACTTTGTTTCGCAATGAATGTATTATTTTAACTGATTTTTGGTCAATCAGACCTATTACAAAAGCAACAATTTACTTCATTTACTTGTGGACAACTAGTTGACATAACACTAAATTTCAAAACATATTATGCCCCTGTTTGAGCTACACTATTTTCAAAAAAATATATTTTTCAACAGTGATTTGACATTATTTCAACCACACATTCTTCAATAAAATAATATTATACATAAATCTAAAACATTTTCTTATTTTTAACCACACATTTCCCATTGATTTGACATCAATAATGCATTTTTTCCCCTATAATGTGGCTCAAACAAGCCCTATTATTTAGATGGTTTTCAAAATCAAAAAGTTGAATTCTTCAATATGAGTCTCGCCAAATTATTCGAGTTGGCCAGCAAATGGAGGATATTGATTCTGAAATCCTGTAGCATTAACAATATAACCAGTAGTACACGAAAAACTTGTGAATCGGGATAAGATTTGAACTTACTGTCCTCTTCCCTTCTTTTCCATAATTGTGGCGTATGCCATATGCATATTCTTTGTCGAATCTGTCGGCACCAACCTAAAAAAGTAACACAGCACACTTAAATTTCAATGGATGGGACACGTAATGCAAGAAATGAGCCCCGGATGAAGGAAATTGTAAAGTAGTTTTACTTTCCTTTCAACTACAATACAATTTCAATCCAATTCTGTCCACAAAAGCAGTGAGGCGCAAAGATTAATATAGAAGGACAATCCCAGTTATCCTTTGTACTGAACCAGTTCAGTCTTCCTAGTTACATTTTCGTTTACTACTATTAATATTCATAGGACTATTCGTGGTCCAGGCAACGTAATTGAATGAGTGGACTCTCTCATATAGCCAAATCAATGCCTGATAAAATCCCCTTAATGCTTTGATAAAACAGTACATGCTTCAAAAATAGGTTGCAGTGAATGTGTGGTAGTTTTTTCATTTGTAACATGCTGTCCAACTTTTTGCTCACTTGAAACCAAAATTGAGAAGGGAAAAAAATAGAAAAGAAAAGGATCACTATGCTCACCTTCCGGGAGAACTCCGCTTTCCAAAAAGCAAGGGCATCATCCAACTTCAATCCAACACCCTAAAAATACAGTAGCACACTAATTCAGTGCCATGATGAATAACTGAGGTACTTCTATTCCTAGTTAACTTTTAATGCACTTCTACTGACATATCAGATGAAGCAAGAATTCATCTTTAGTGTTTATATTTAAAGGTTCAACGCAAATAATCATGGACATGTAGAACAAGTGCATCGAATTCCAAGATATGCATAAACGTATATCATTTTCAATTAGCTAGCACAAGAAAGATTGTGTTGTTATTAAATAGCATAATTTGGAAGTCCATCCAACATATTTTCATATTACATTCACTAACTGAAATTATTTATCCCAATATCATTGAACTTCAATAAATTACCCTCCCTCACAGACTATAAAAGCACTTTTACCACATAACTTTCCAGAAGAAGCATAAATGCTTAGATCAGTAATAAGAATTTTAAATACATATTATGGTTGAACCAAAAAGAAAAATTCACATCAAAATGAACTTGTTGCATCCTGAAATGCTAAACCTCACCTACCAAAGCTCCATATTAATGGAAAGGTATATAAAAGAAAAGCATAATTAACTTTGAAAGCAAATAACCTTGAGAAATAAACCCAGTTGCATACGACCTCCGTGCTTCAAATGATGATCCTCTCTAAGCTGCAACAAGTGGTGACGATCATGAAGAAATAAAAGAAAAGGTGAAAACATATTTATAAACTGACAGCTAACTGTAAGTATAGAGGATGAAGACATTTACATCACTCTAATGGCAAGAAGAGCAACAATAAATCTGATTCTGTAGACAAAGTTATTACCTTGTCAAACAAATGACGCATGCAGAGTGGGAATGACCTTTTCGCAACTTGATCGATGTCCTTTATTGATAGTTCTGCATATTCTTTTGGCTGTAATAGTAGTATACTAAGTCAATCAACTGAAGTTGAACTTCTGCCATTTCAGATATAGTTACTAGAATTACCTGGCTGTAGTCAGGACCTAAATAACTGGTTGATAGAGCTTCAACGATCTATGTAAAAAAAATGGAGTTAGATACAATGTAATTCAGAACAAAGAGCATTCATGAATCACTTCTGGATACTCACAGGAGTTAGTCTATCCTTTTCTTGTTCTCTGATCATGGAGATCCATTTTCTGAAAGCAAACACTGCAGGTTATAAAATTCTATAGGATAAAAGTTTATGCTTTAAGTTTTCTTGTCAGTTCAGAAATAAATACTCAAACTTCAAGATACATATTTTATGAAGACAAATTTAAACCCTCTCTCAGCTTTAAAATTTTTTCCACCGACTGATTTGTTGAGAATATGAAAATTCTTCAAATATTAAAAGGTTTTTTACATAAAA